ATTCACGAAGACTTAACGGAAATAAGATTATAGAAAAAGGTATTTAAAGAATGTAAATATAAGCATGTGCATAATACTTTTATATTATAGTTCTTTCCTGTACACACCCTCATACATATCTTATTTGATTGTAAATAAACGCGCGGTGATTCAATTTGTTACGGCCATATGTTCTCTCTTTACCAGTCTTTTTTTTTTTTTTTATCAATTCTTTTTTTAATAATAAGAAACAACGGTTCACGCCGGCACAGATTCATGAAGTTAATATTTTCATGTATAATATTATGACCGGCGTATATTTTAAAAGCATTTACACATGAATATATCAAAAAATTAAATTCATTTCTTATATTTACATTATTTTTCTGATGAATTGCCATGATTTACGCCGTTGCAACTGTCATTTTTAAAACAAAACAGTGTGCACTATATTTTTTTGAACTTTTTGACGTATAAGAGCGGTTTAATCCACGAACAATGGAGATATTCATGCTTATTCGTGATACATACACTACATGTATATCATGAGAAAATATATTGCAGTTATATTAATAAGAAACAAATTGAATTTAACAATATTTTCTGATACGCATTACGGTGATATATAAACACACAAAAATATATCAAAAATCTAAATAATAAGCGCGTTAGCCCGGTATAAAAATTTGTACGTTTTACACGGGTGTGATCAATTTGACTCCTTGCAACTTTGTAACAATTTTATATTTATATTCTCTTACTTTCCTTTATCATAATTGTTTTGCTTTCAAAAAATTTAAAAATATAATTAGAAAATTCTGGATTAAAATGCTTGATATATTTCATTAATACACATACACACACTTGGAAATGCCGTTTTGAGTTGGAAAGTAAAATTTGCAAATAAGACATGTGTCAATCAAACCCAACCAAAAAATTTGAAGTTTCAATAACTTTAAGATGAAATAAAATTTTTGAAATATTTTTGTGTGAAATGCTATTAAAATATATGTCATGATATTATACAGAAAATATTAACTTCGAATCTGTGTCCATGCACCTTTAGAATATGCTTCTAGAATTGATTGATAAAGATTACATGTACTATGATCAAGATTATTATGAACTCTCTTCTGTTTCTTTTATTCAGAGCATACATGTATAAAATTTTGAAAACTTTCAATAAATTTAAAGCAGTTGTGACATAATATTAGATCAGCCCTTGTTTGTTCGAAGCAGTTTACTTCAACTCTTTTACCCCCCCCCCCTCCATTCTGAGAATTTCTTTGACCGATAATTTATCCAAAATAAATGAATTCCTAATCTATCATAGCCATTTTCGAATTCTGATATGAATTTCCGTTTTTTTTTAGTTTCCGAGATTGTCCCTCAATGAGTACATAAAAATACTGTTTTTACAATCTGTCATAAAGAAACGCATGTGGATCTCGTTTTCTACAAAATCATGACATGTTACAGAATATCTTTTAACTTCTGTACATAATGAACTGGAAAATTGCCAGTTTGTAAGGTCTCAAAGTGAAAGAAACAAAGAATTTCATACAACTAGCTCAAAACCCACAATAAAATGAGACTGCGAAGTGAATTCCCCAGATACTGTAGAAATTAAAATCATAATGTAGTTTGTATTTTTTAAAAACTATGCGATAAAGTACACAGAAAATCATCAGCCCCAAAAGATGAATGTGGGCTAGTAAAACTTGTAAGTTGATGGCCCACATGTCCTCTAAAGTTTAAAACGTTAATTGCAACCCTGAAAGGAATCTAGTATTCATCCACTGTTTCTACATCGTTTTACAGACTAAAGGTCTGTAACATTAAGCTTACGTGCTTATGCAGATAAATTCATGGTAAGTTCTTGTTCCCTGATTTGATGTTACAGGGATTTCAACAAGCTCGTATAAAGTCAGCAGTTCGTAAATTATGTGGTCAGTATAATGACTTTGTAAGCAAATATAACCTATCTTTGGATTGAATTGTGGCTGACTAGCTTCATACCCATTGTTAGGCCTTCGTATTTTATTCTGAAATTAAACTATGGAATGTTCTGTCTACCCGATCGATACACAGGGCTCAAGGAGGGTGTGTCCGGTCAACAGGGGATGCTTACTCCTCCTAGGCACATGATCCCACCAGAGATCCCACCTCTGGTGTTTCCATTTTCAGATTTTTGTACAAAATTTTTAAACTTGAACACTGTTCAAAATCAAATATCCTTTACCATGAATCATTTAAGGATGTGCAGCTAAAATCAACACAAAATAGTTTTACGGGTAACAAATTTACTTTAATAACATCACTTTGAACATTTGCATAAAAATATTAATATATCAAGAGCTAAATGTAAACATCTTCAACCATAATAGATATCAAAACATTGTCCCAGAAAAAGAGCCCCGTAGAACCAGAATAACAAAGACTAGGGAGAAAAATAAAATGGCTGACTGGTGACCTCTACAGGGAAGTCAAGGTCATCACATAAAAAATAATTCTCACACGTCACCTTCCTCACTTAAAGACAAACACACTGAACTGTAATACTTGTTCTCACTAAAACACACACCAACAGACAAACAAACTGACCATTAAAACATGTTCTCACTTTAGCTCACATCTGATCAAATGACAAAAAATGTTTGCATAAAATACTCATTCACCATTTGAGAAACCAAAAAAATTATATACATGTACAAATACATATGTACATATTCATATCCATATTATATACATTTTCTTGTAACAGTATTTGGCTGTGAGAATTTTCTTGCCATGATGGCAATATTATTTATAAAATAAAATATACTTATAAAATCTTTGTCAGGTATGCATGTGTTACTTAAAGTAACTGACAAATTAATGCTACCCTTATCATATGGGTTATGTATCTTTTCTAAAACCAATGTCTGGAATGTATACATTACATACATACAAAAATCATCATTGTACAATATACATATAATCTCAGAGATACATAATACCCATTGTTTAGTATATGTCCTCAGTACAAGAATATAGCACCTTTATGCCTTATGATTACATTGCACAATAATTCAACTCACAGCAAATATCTTACCTCCTCATGTGCATGTATGTGTTTATGTGAAAGCTTTTGTAAAATGTCAATGACATCATATAGTTTGACTTTGAAGTGAAAAAGCGGTTAACTAGATGCTGCAAGTGATGATGATTTATATTTGTTGAGTTTAATCATTTTATAGAGAAAAAAGAAGTGAATATTCCTATCACATAATAAATTGTACCTACATGTACAGTACATGTTTCATATTAAAAAATTCTGTCAATTTTAAAATACTTTATCCCCTTGTCTTACAGAGGGGAAAAAAGTTATATATTATACATAAAGCAATATCATCATCTGCACATGTAACATCAATTGATAAAGTATACATGTATACATTTTTAAATGATTTCTTATTATGTGTGTTTACATTAAATTATATGACATACAGCAATGTTGCAATCAAATAATTTTTACATAAATTATACAAATAATTAGAAGGTAATTAAATTCATTAACAATTCTGATCTCAGCTACACTTTAAAAAAGCAGTGTAATCTTAAAAGTATTTCTTTAGCATGACATCCATCGTACATTTTTCCAGTATTTTACAAAAAGCAATGCCTAATGGTCATATCCCAAAATGCACAACCTTGGACAACAGCTTTACTTTAGATTTGACTTGTTACATTAAAAATTCACAGCTGCCTTATATAACGATGATCTACATGTATCAAAATTCAAGTAATCATCAAGATTCCAATACATTTACTACAATTTCTTACGATACTGATGCCAACTCTACTTATGCCAAAATCAAAACCATTCATGTGCATTTCAAGAGTGCATATGAAAGTTAACATATTTTCATCTATTAATCACTCCAAGAACCAGTGAAGAAGTTAATTTAGCAAGAAATAATAATTGATTAAAGCTAATTAATTTACATGATGCAAACTGGGTATTTAAATTTGTAAAGCAAAGGACAAAGGGTGTTGTTTTCCAACATCCCTCCTTGAAATTTTTTTTTAACAAACATGAATAATATTTACAATCATGAATGGGATTATGTAACAAAAGAAAAATTAAAGAAAAAATCCCAGCAAAATCCATGTTTTAACATTAAACATACATGTAATAATCAGAACTTTAAATATTTCAATATTATTTTTTCAATTTTCCACAAATATTAAAAGTAAAGAATGAAAAATGCTCTTAAATGAAATTGTTGCTTCCTGTTTTTTTCTTCATAATAAATAAACTTTACCTTTATACATATATTTAAAAAAAACTTTGATATTTTGGTAAGCTGTTACCATGTGTAATGTGTGCAATGAGCAAAATCACACGTATAAGTAAACAGTAAAATACAATGTACTAGTATCTTTAAGAACACATTCTTTACAGCTATATAATTGCAATTTACAGTAATATTTTTATAATAAAATATGATAATCAATTATATGGAATCATAATACAAGATGGAACATGCTACAAATGTGAAAGATTGAAAAAAAAAAGAAAAGAAAAATTACCACCAATTCATACGTTGATCTGAAATATACACACACCAAACATCATAAAAAATTAATTAAAATTAATTAAATGCTAAATTTGCTTGTGAAGCTTACCATTGCCTAATGGGCTGCATGAAAATAAAATAAACAAACATCACTGTAAGATGCAAACAAGTGCCTGTATATCTACTGTAAACTATAGAGTGGACATTATATATACAGTATCACACACCTTTGTGTTTAATATCTAACTAGTTCAGATTTACAGAAGTAACCCAGCTTCAAGTATTCATTGCATGATCATTAATCAAAAATTAGACAAGGAAAATTGGACCCTTACTTAACCAACATTCAACTTACTGTACATGTATTTTATACAATTCATTGGAAATTTGCATGATTTAACTTTTTATAAAAATGACTAAAATGAAAAAAAAAAATCTTAACCATTAATCATGTTAATTGTAATAAAAGGGCAAATTAATGAAGTAATACATAAAAAAGATGAACAAATATTATAAAGGTTGATATATTCAGAACACAGCATACAAAAATGTGTCAAAAAATATCAATAAATATTATCTGATCATTAAAGCTCAATATTTCATCAAAATAACAATAATAAAAAATTTTAACAAAGAAAATTATTAAAAACAATTAAATTTCAAATATCCTATGTGAGCCCCGAGACACAAGTTGTGATTGTTCACTGGGGGCGTGTCTGGAATGAGTTTGATTGACAGGCCAGGGATTGGAGGGTGGGAAGATGGTCACATGGTCCACACTTACATTGTTCTGTAACAAAATGTGATCCTGGGGGTGGATCATGCCGTTTCTATTTAACAGGTTGACCTCTGTCTTGGAGTGAGGAAGCCCTTTCGGGTTGAGATGGGCCTGCAGATTGGTCTCACTGTGCACCAAGGGTAGAGTTTCTGCTCGGCGACGGGCACTGTTTTGGTCATACTTGGCCTGAAACACATAAGTTTGGGAAATCATGAATGGGGAAAAAATTCATAAAATGAAATTTTTTTTTAAAGTTTTGAGTCAAACTCTTAATAATATTAGAGAAATGATTCCTCATCGACATTTCATTAACAGTCATATAATAAGAGTGGGCCCCATGGCATTCATACGTGCATGTAAAAAAAATACCCTGTATGTTAGCAGCTTAGAAAGACACTGAATAATTTTATTTAAGTCCTTTTTTTTTTTATTAAATATTCATAATTTGATTATCTTAAAGATTAAAAATGCAAATATCTCAGATTATAACCTAGAATATTTTGGCCAGCTCATAATGAGATTAAGTTTTACCTTATTGTAACACAGAACTCCGAAACAGGCTACGAGCATGCCCACCACATTAGCTGTTGTGACGGGATTCCGCAGAAGGAATAAGGAGGCACTGATAATGACGACCCTCTTCATGGCATTGGCTACCGAGTAACTAAGGGGGGCCACCATAGCAATCACAGTAAACGCAAACACATTGTGCATCATGTAGAACATGCCGTCCAAAATCAACAACAGGAAAGACTTCATCACATCTGTATTCTCCTGAGGTGAGGAAATAGATATTTTAATATTCAAGGAGCAGTAATGTTTATGTTTTAGTGCTTCTGTAACATTGTTCAGCAGTGAAAAGTTCAGCAAAATATGATATTTATGTAATTAAATTTACATTCACCAAATAAACTGATTTAGAAGACCATGGACTAAACCACATTAGCAAGTACTGAACATTAGATGACTTATAATTTTAAATTCTTACAAACACATCACTGTTGGCAATGTTCCTGCAGTCAAACAGAAGCCAGAACGGGAGAAAGAAAACCGTGGCGATGCGACTCAGGAGAACAAGAAGTCGTAGGTGGTTTATACCCGTGTCCTTAAGGCACTGTAACAGGAAGGAAATTTTATATATGTACTGATGTGTACATTCATCTTTGCATTCAATGATGTATCATCCACAAAAAAATTCAATTCTCAGAATCAATTTAAACTTGTCACATTTTAACAAATTATAAATTGCCTTTACCCAGTAAATGTACATAATTTCTTTCATATTTTATTTTATGTATGTTAATTGTTGTATTCATGACTATATGCCAATGTATGATGGTGTTGTCAATAAATGAATTGATTTGAATAATTATACTCACCTTTTTGGAAAATATGGATTGTAATGAGAAGCCTAGTGTAGCTACTAGAGCACTGAGTAAAGCCAGGGTCTCAAAGGAGACTTCTGTAAGGGTAGCCACGATAACACCAACAATGATAGGCACAATGGACAGGTATACCTGAAAAAAGTATCAACAGGTGAAAAAAAAACAGTATATAAAGGATAAGAAATATAACAGTTTATAAATATACGTTAGAATTTACAAGTTGTACAATTAGTCACTGTACAGAATTATTTTAATTATCAGATCACATTTCAGTAAGAAGTAATATACCTTTAAAGGTCTACAGTTTTTTTCAGATTTCCTAAATATAGAACAATGCATAATGATATGGCTATACTTACTGGGAGAGTTTGAGTTTCTCCTAACAGAACCCTGGACAGTACAACTGTGAACAATGGCAAGGTAGCTTTTACTGAAAATATAGGTAAATAAATATATGTAACCATAAAAAATTAAATTTCTAAATATCGACAGTGATATTAATCATAATGATTGATATGTTTAAAAAAAATCAAGTTTAATTGTTGTACATGTAATGCTGTTTACTTAATGATGAGCACATATTCAGTGTAAAGTCGCAATTTCAACAATCAATGAAATTTCTCAGCAATTCCATTCATTATATCTTATAGTTTTGGGATATTTTATTGTATAACCAAAAGGATTGGAAACAAGTTCTATATGCGACTCCAGAGTTCCTCTCCTTAAATATAACTATATGTCATGCAATTAAAAAAATGTAGTACATAGAAATTTAAATGCAAAAGAGATACAAGTGAAATATTTGTTCAGTTATAACAATTTAAAATTGTTACTTAATCCCAGCTGTGCACAATTTAATAACTTCGTCCTCTTACACATTTTTATGCGAAAAAATTCCAAGATAATGGCATAAATATATATTTATAATCATCTGTAATTGAAAGCGAAACTAGCATGGTTCTCTTATAACTATTAAATTTACAACTCATAATTACGAGAAAACGTTATAACAAGAAAATTAACTCGTATAAAGAAGAGCTGATTTAAAATATGACAAATTTCAACAGAAGGATTTGAAGCACAGGTGGGGAATTATGAGTATAATTAACTCGTTATAACCCAGATTTTTGTTTTTATTACCGATCGTGTTGATCTGTAATATCTTTATTATCGACTCAAAGAATTTTTGCAATTTCTAACCAATTTTCTAGGTTAATTAATTCCAAAATGTTTTTTAATAAAAATCATGTTCACTATTACTGAATCTTTTCTGTAATTACCCAAAAGTATTTTTTTATGTGGCCCTATTCGTCTTTCGTAGATAGGCAAGATGGAAACCTGCAAAAAGTATCAGTATGTGAACAGAAACAGTGAAAAGGATAATAAATATATATGTTAGAATTTACAAGTTGTGCAATTAGTCATCACTGTACAGAAATACTTTAATTATCAGATCACATTTCAGTAAGAATTAATACTCCTCTAAAAGTCTTTACTTTTTAAGATTTCCTGAATATAGAACAATACACTTGGCTATACTTACTGGGAGAGTTTGAGTTTTCCACAACCCTGGAAGTCACACATTTAACAATATAATGTAGCTTTTAGTAAAAAATATAGATAAATGTTACAATATATGCTACCATAACAAAATAAATTTTCTAAATATGTAGGACTCCAAAAGGGGATGGGACTCTAAAGTCCGATGGTCAAGCTAAAGTCTCATGGTCTTCCACGGAAAACAATTAACATTTATGACGTCATAGTACTACAGCGCCAAACTTCAATGCCAATCAAAACGTAAAAGAACAAATTTACTGTGACAAACCCCTGTGCTCACATCGACATCCATGGGGTAATTTTTTTTTTTTAAAATGATACCTTTATATTTCCTTAATTCAAAGACAAAATAAGGAATATATATTTTAAAGAAATTCAGAATAAAAATATTATAAGCAATCGCTCAGAACAACCCATTGTTTTTTCTGATCCACCACCTAAACTTGAGATCACCTGTGTGGGCATAGGAGACGGAGGATTTCCATATGCTGATATGTGAAGAAACAGAGGAAAAGAATTTGCCGAACGCCAGAGGCAGGATGAGTTTATAGTAGTAACTCCGGGGAATGTTCCCGGTGTTCGGAGTCCGCAGAAACCAGAAAATCGGCTCCATGTAAACAGAGATAGAGATGAGTTGCGTCATCGTTACTGTCATCGGATAAGGGAACTCGTTCAACACAAGTTTTCCGATGATGTTTCCGCCAGCACTGCAGATATACCACATTAAACAAACCACAATAAATTTTAACGTCTCTACATAAGTGTGTTCCTCCATTATGTGACGATTTTAGGGCTGGAACACGACCCAAAACAAGCATATGGATTACCGATTAGCCCGGCATCACGGCTGTGATTTCGACACGTTGCTGACGATAAAATATATCCGCAGTGAATAAATTTAAAAAAATATTTAAAATTAAACCCTGTAGAGCCGTCCAAAAATATAGGAAAAAGTATCAATATATAGCAATAAATAACCAAACAGAAGCATTTAAAATTTATTCCAAAACATTTTTTAATTATTTACTACAAATGTTTTGGTGCGATACTGTAACATGTCAGCGCCCATGTGTGTGAAGTTGAAAGTAGGAATGCTCGAGAAATGAGACGATGGCAGATTGTGAAGTGTTTAGGACTTATATGTGTTATTTTTCTGCTGTTTCAGTTTTTCCTTTGGTTTCAATTTCCATCCAAAGGTGTAAGTACTTATGGAATTCTTTTGCAAATGTTCATAACAAAACTCGGTAAGCTTTGTTTATTTTTTCATGTTCCTTTGCTACAGAATGTTGTCAGATATGAACAGTTTATAACTTATAAGGAATCTGGGGTTCTTAATGTACCTTCAATGTAAAAGTAATCATAATCTGATGATGCTATATTTATGTTTTTGATTAATTTTATAGGACAAAGACCCGCCTACGTATAATGTAAAGGTTAGTCAAAACATTTAAGTACAGTAAAACGTTGGTACAGTGGAGTCGCCAATTCCGGGTCGTCTCCTATTCCGGGTCACCCGCGTGTATTTTATGCCTAGTGTTAAAATTTAAGTGCAAAAAACTTAATGAATACGCTGGTCGTGAAAAACTGGTCTTTCTGATTGTAATTAATTACAAAATTTTGAATATCAACTTCAAGAGAGCATCCGACAATCGAAATTCTGAAACGCACTCATTAAAGACTTGGATGTTTCTGCTGCGGTGACGGGCTACTTTCGTTTTTGTTCGCTGCAGAAAGGCTGATATAAAAGTTCTAGATAAATAATAAGAGCTCGAAAGTATGGCAAATGCATTTAGTTTTAACTCAGAAATCAATCATAATGATCGCTGCTCAAATAAAATTATAATGATTATTAAATCAAACTGTAGTAGTTTCCCCAATTGCGGGTCACGCAATCTCGTGGCATGAACATCTCAAACTTCTATGTACAAAACCATTCGACAACCCTGTATTTACCTTGATTTTCAAAAGTATTCTAACTGGAAAATATTTTTTCTAAAAATTAAAATCGAGTTAACCCTTCAAATGCATCTTTTAAATAAATGAATTTAATTGTATTATTTTTAATCCTAATATATTTTTTTACATTCTGCATACTGCAATTTGTTTTGTTGAAATTGTTTTAAAAATAATTTAAACATATTTCTGTGATTGTTTTACTTTTTTTCCAAGCTGCATGAATTGTTTTATGTTTCAACATCATAAAAATCGTGTTCCGAAACGTTCCATGAATATTACAAAACCGTGAAGTCACATGACCCGGAAATGGAGAAAATGATTCGTAACTGGGGAAGCTAGGCCTTGCTGAAATACCCCTGTAAATATTGTTCCCGTGTAGCTACTTTGAAAACAAAAGGTGTTTGGATGACTCACTGTTTGTTCTTTCAATACATATATTGCATAAAATATAAACTGAACAGATTTGCAAAAATATCAAAGAAACACCCTGGCATGACCCGGAATTGGCGACTTCACTGTATTCTGAACACAGATATCTCAAATATCATGTAAATATAGAAATGATTTAGTATGTTTCTGTCTCATTTACTTTTTTATGTACTCTACCATCAGTATCTGAAACTCTTCAGGGTTTATCTTCTGATATCTTGTGAAGTTTTTAAAGTTTGAGATAATAAGGTTTGACTTTATATATTAATTAATTCAATGAGGATTATCCTTATTGTTTAATTTATCATTACCCGGTACATTTTGCCTTTGTATATTGGCCTGACTAGCTCAGTGATTAGAGCACCTGACTGGAGATTGTAGGGATGTACGATTTTATTGGTATACCGGTATATCATGAATTTTTGTTGCTTGATACATATTGTGAAATGGAGACTAAAATACTGGTACATGTGTATTTAGGTACATATTATAAAGTCCAGGAATTATTCATTTTTTGTTCAATATTTCAAATTTTACTCACAGAAAATGTTGTAAAGGAACGGCATCTTACCATCCAAACATGATTAGTTTTGTTTCCATAATTTTTTTTAAAATAGTGAAATTTTGTTTTTCTAGCATATTTTTAAAAAAATAAGGACTATTCATTTAAAATCATTGTAAAAATTGCCTGTAAAAATATCATGATATTATCATGATATTTTGGGGAAAAAATCGTGATATATCACATTACGAAACTTTTGGCCATACACACATGTACCTATTCCTAGGAGATTGAAGAGTCCCTGGTTCGATTCCCAATCCAGTCATCTTTTTCTTGGTTTCCTGTAACATATTCTTCATATTGCATTTATTGCTCTCCGTCAGTCCCATGGAATTGCATGTATAATGCCAAACCTTGTTAAAGTCAAACCTGTCAATTTAGGCTGACACTTTATGTTTTCTTTAACTCTCTGCTCTAAAAACGAAAAAATATCTATGTGTGATATATAAATAACATGTTTAAATAATGTCATAACATTCTTCTTTCAGCGATTGGTGAAGAAGGTGTTGAGAGTATGGGATGATTTAGAAGACACAGTGTTTGTTATCGAGCCCGAGATTCTGTACAAGATTTTAGAACAGGAGAATTACTCTGATAATGAAGGCAGATGTGCCGTCTTTTGCCACCTTACAAGAAAGGCCATCTCCTTTGGAGTATTTGGACACAAAGTTGCCATTGTATGTTTATTTTTATTTTGAACCCTTTCACATATAAATTTCATGGAGGACCAGGGGTCTAGATTTAGGCTTTTCTGTTGCAAAGGGCAAGTGGTCTAGATTTATGCCTTTTTCTTGCCAAGGGCAAGTGAAAGGTTTTCTTTAGAGGTAAGTTAGAGTGCCAATAAGTAAATGTTATAAACATGATGAATGAACTCTACAAAGAAGTCTTTAATGGCTTAATTGAAACCCAATACTAGAAATTGTCAAAAATATTTATCTGAACTACCTTAACAGGGTGAATTTTCCAAATAAGCATTCTTAAAAATTACAGACTTTTTCATGCACTAGTGGCCTAAACCCCCCCCCCCCCCCAAAAAAAATCTAGACCTCTGACATTTCCAACAAAGAAAGGTGTCTTATAAAGTTCTTTTGAATTGATTGGGAGGGGAACATCATTAAGACTAAAAATAAAACCAATTCTTTCTTCTGAAATGTAAATTTTAATTTTTTTTAAAATGGAGAATGACGTGTTAATGGAATGAGATAAATTGGTATTTACAGCCATTAAGTTTTATCACCTGTCTCTAATACATGTAGCTGAAATCATTCAATGACAACATACCATATAAGTGAACATTTTAGCGAAACATAAATATAGCAATTTGTCCTTAAAAACTGGTATTTTATGTTTAACTAGATGTAATTTTAGCAATTTTTAAATGCTCACTAAAGAAGCTATTAGAAATATAACACAATTAATCTTTAGCGATATTCAATTTTAGCTATCTCAGCACCCTCGCTAATAATGCCAAAATTAAATCCTCGCTAAAAATCTGCTTATGCGGTATAACAAAACAGCCTCTCATTCAATAGAATCCTATTCTTCATGCTTATAATTTTAGCCACTGGTCTTATCAAAGTTCCGTCAGAGTGGATTTGCTGCAGTGGACGCCAAAGAGGATAATCCAGACTCCCACCTAAAGAATCCTGGATCCTCTCCACAACAGATCATCACCCACATGTTTCTACAGGACATGGAGCAGCCAGAGCTGACAGTACATGTGGTGGTGTTCTACCCCCTCTCAGGGTTTCTGTGGACCAGTCAGATCCAGATGCCAACCTCTGACCTCAGCTTTGGAGCCACAGCAGGGGCATACGATATGTAAAGAATAAGTATTAAATGAATGAAATTCAAATTATCTAAGAACTTACAATTCTCTCAAATACATAATGAATTCAGGGAGAATTTGGTGGGAATTTTAATTGCCAAGTATTGAATGTTGTTTTTAATAACTACATGTATAATAGGTCTGGATCAAATGACCTTGAATATGTATGAAATGTATAACTCTAAATTCAAGTATATTTGAATGATTGAACTTTAATGGTAAAAGATTAATTATATGGAGGGATGTGGGACAAAATGTATACAGTGGAGCCTCATTTATCCAGACGCTTTGGTTCCTAGTCAATTTGTCTGGATATGTGAAGCGTCCGGACATGTGAATTACCAGTTAAACAAAACAAAACAACATTAAAAAAATTCCGTTCCTATGAAAAGTCGTCCGGATACTGAAGCATCGGGATATCTGGCATCCGATAACTGAAGGTCCACTGTATATTAGTGCCAAGATTCAAGCAGCTATTTGTTATGGGAATGGTAAGGAAAGGAAATTAATTTTTTTTGTAGATTTGAGACACGGAGCATAACCATTGATGGCCTATCGATCAGTGTGCCTAAATCAATCCGAAATTTTCTTCACATGAAGCAAGATTCACACTTCTTGGAGTGCAACAACGAAAGAGCCAAGATGTTCTACACCCAGTATCCCAAAGATAACACAGAAGAAGCCCAGCGATTTCAGAGGAAGGCCAGACAACTCCTGGTCAAAGGGAAGGAGGTTCTAGATAAGTTAGGGGTCCGCTTCTGGCTCAGCAGTGGCACCTGTCTAGGTAAGGTCTGTGTGTCTGTCAGTGAGGACACATTTCAGGTACAGTGAAATGTTTGTTATGAATGCCTGCTGAATTGAGTTTTTATATGTCAGTACATTTGTACATACTAAGTGTTTGTTATGTTTTGTCCCTGTTTCTTGTTTTAGAGGGGTTCTAGGATAACAAATAACTTGTTAACATTTCTATATATAGTATCAGTGCATATAAGTAAATGTATTTATTTTGTCTAATGAATTATTTCAGGCTGGTTTCGACAGTGTGACATCATCTCATATTCTAAAGATGTGGACTTCGGGATTTGGATTAAAGATCATAAACCAGAAATCATTGACGCCATGGAGAGGGCTGGACTTCCCCTCAAGCATGTGTTTGGCAAAGTAAGATTCTACCATATTGATACCAAAAACCGTGCATTTATTTCCAAGACACAATTTTTCCAAGATACAGTAAAACCATAGAAATTGTGTCATTTAAATTCCATTTGAATATTAATATATTTATACCCAATTTCATACTATATTTGTATTGTATACTGAAAGGAAAAAGGAAAAGCAGGGTAACAGTGGAGAGATGATATCATTTACAGGTGTCAGATAGTTACGAGTTGTCCTTCAAGGCTGGAGAAGTCAAACTGGACCTTTTCTTCTTCTATGAAGAGGGAGACACAATGTGGAATGGGGGAACTGATGCCAGCTCAGGGGAAAAACTCAAGTAAGTCTTACAGGGAAAACTCAAGTAAGTCTTAAAGGGAAAAACTCAAGTAAGTCTTACAGGGAAAACTCAAGTAAGTCTTACAGGGAAAACTCAAGTAAGTCTTACAGGGAAAACTCAAGTAAGGCTTACAGGGAAAATCAAGTAAGTCTTACAGGGAAAACTCAAGTAAAGCTTACAGGGAAAACTCAAGTAAGTCTTAGAGGGAAAACTCAAGCAAGTCTTACAGGGAAAACTCAAGTAAGGCTTACAGGAAAAACTCAAGTAGGGATGTACATTGACTAGAAAACAATTTGATGTGAGATTTACCTTGCCTATAAATAACATTCATGGAGGTGAGCTGCAAGTTTTGATTAAGTATGTTGTTTTTTCCTAGGTATGTCTTTCCAAAGTTTGACTTGTGTTGGACACTTCTTCTGGATATCAGGGTGCGAGTTCCATGTCCAACACAACCCTACATCGAGGCAAACTATGGGAAACAGTGGGATGTTCCTGTCAAATCTTGGGACTGGAAAACCAGCGCATTTAATGTCCGTCCAAATGGAGTGTGGCCAAAATCAGAATGGAAGGAGGTCATTCAAGTCTATTAATGTCAATGTTTTTTTCATGTCTGTGTATAAATGATGAATGAAATAATGAAATGCAGGGAGAAAATGTAATTAAAGGCATTAAAGTAAGCAGGTTGTTGAAAGGTGTGAAAGTTGAAAGGCTTTTTTTCTTAAAGTGTGAGGATCATGTGCAAATGAGTTGTTCTTGAAATGTGAATAAGGGATCTGATGTACTAGATTTTGTTATGAATGTGTATACACGTATATGGTAACCTGTTGTGTTAGATTGTAATTAGAAATTTTTATAGAAAATGTCTATTTTTGGTGCTCTTGTACACTGATATTGTCAGACAAGCTGTCCATTATATGAACAAGCCTATGTGTAAATTTGTCTGTGTTATACAAGCCTCGTTATCTTGAACTTGATTGAACTGAAAAAAATATAGATCTGAGAGTTTGAGATGCAGGTTAAAAATTCATAAAGAAGAATCATTTCAGACTTCCAAATCACGCTACATGAGTGTAGTATTTGAGATATTATCATTTCAGACTTCCACATCATGCTACACGAGTGTAGTATTTGAGATATTGTTATTTGAAATAATGAAGTATAACATATACATGTACGTTACTTATAATCAGAGAAGAATCTATAATCAGGTGTGGTTTTCATAACTTTACGCTATATTTAAATTTTCAGCTTTTAATAGGGGAGACAGTTCCTATAGAATAGACAAGAGTGCATTTTAAATGTTCACGGTTTAGGGGTAATAGAATGCTGTAATAAGCACTTCATTTTCTCTGATGAATACTCTCGTACTTGTTTAACTGTCAAATGAATTCAAAACAAGAACAGGAAATGTCATGATTAGATTGTTTTGTCTCTGAAATTTCTTTTAATGATAACAATAAATGTCATTAATTTTGATACAGGACTATAAATGTACCTTTTATAGCAGGTAATGTTTTACTACATGTATTACGCAAGGCTGTGATTAATTAGGTAATTGTGCAATCATCTTATTGGCAATATTATTATGTATTCATCTCTTGCTAAATTCATTTCTTGCTTAATTATTTAATTCTACCTCTATCATGTATTTTAGTGTTCATCTTTACATCTGGTTGTGAAATCTTTTGTTATGTATTACTATTAACAGAGAAAAAACTACCCTGTTCTATCTGTAAAATAAATTTAAGAGTCAAGGTCTGATTTGTTCTTCATTGAATAGGATTTCATAAACCCAATACTTATGGAAGATGTATTCTAACACAGTGAAACCTTGTCTTATTCAGGCACAACTGGCTCTGATAAAAATATATTAGCAATGACTGAATTTATCAAAAGGCATTATAGTTTTCATCAGAGGATGTAATATACAGAACAGGCAGTAAATGAATCTCAGGTACAGGATACAGTTTGTGCTTTGGAACATTGCTTCAGATGCAGTTATGCCCCTTTTTAACACATTTTGCTTGCATCCATTGTTTTATTTTATTGAATTTCCTCATGCTGATAGTCTCTTTTCATAAGATAACGGCAATATCAGACAAAAATTGTGAGAGGAGAAGCCTTTTTACAAAAATCTCTACTTTTAGAAACCAGGGCAACACCATTCATCTAAATAAACAAGAGGCCCATGGGCCACATCGCTCACCTGAGCACTGTGGCTAGGAAAAAGTAGAAATTGGTTTATCATTTAATAATTTAAATCCAAAAGTAGTCCCAACACCAATCCTGGCTTTGCTATTCTTGATAAGATGATTTTTAAAGAATTTTCCTATATATGTCTATGAAAAACTTTGGTCGGCCATTGTGGCCCCGCCCTACCCCCGGGGTCATGATTTGAACAAACTTGAATCTACACTACCTGAGGATGCTTCCATATAAATATGATCAATTATGGCTTTGTGATTCTTGAGAAGAAGATTTTTAAAGAATTTTCCTATATATTTCTATGTAAAACTTAAGTCGGGCATTGTGGCCCCGCCCTACCTCCGGGGGTCATGATTTGAACAAACTTGTCTCTACACTACCTGAGGATGCTTTCATATAAATATGATCAATTATGGCTTTGTTATTCTTGAGAAGATTTTTAAAGAATTTTCCTATATATTCCTATGTAAAACTTTGGTCGGCCATTGTGGCCCCGCCCTACCCCCGGGGGTCATGATTTGAATAAACTTGAATCTACGCTACCTGAGGATGCTTTCAAATAAATATGATCAATTATGGCTTTGTGATTCTTGAGAAAAAGATTTTTAAAGAATTTTCCTATATATTTCTATGTAAAACTTTGGTCGGCCATTGTGGCCCCGCCTTACCCCCGGGGGTCATGATTTGAACAAACTTGAATCTACACTACCTGAGGATGCTTCCATATAAATATGATCACTCATGGCTTTATTATTCTTGAGAAAAAGATTTTTAAAGAATTTTCCTATCTCTTTCTATGTAAAACTTTGGTCGGCCATTGTGGCCCCGCCCTACCTCCGGGGGTCATGATTTGAACAAACTTGAATCTACACTACCTGAGGATATTTCCCCATAAGTTTCATCTTTCCTGGCTCAGTGGTTCTTGAGAAGAAGATTTTTAAAACAAACCATAAAATTTTCATTAATTCCCAATTATCTCCCCTTGAATGAGGGCCTGGCCCTTCATTTGAACAAACTTGAATCCTCTTCACCCAAGGATGCTTTGTGGCAAGTTTGGTTGAAATTGGCCCTGCGGTTCTTGAGAAGAAGTCGAAAATGTGAAAAGTTTACAACGACGACGACGACAGACAACGGACAAATTGTGATCAGAAAAGCTCACTTGAGCCTTTGGCTCAGGTGAGCTAAAAATGATTAAAAGAATATATCTTGATGAAGTCTAAATATAATTGTGCCAAGTTTAATTGAAATCAAACCATATCTGTATGAGGAGCAGCATTTTAAATGTATTTTACAGATTGAAATTTTATTTTTAGTAACCACACAATTGCAGTGCTCAATGAAATAACAATCCAATACACAGAATTATGTATTGCAGTGTAATCTACTTGTGCACAAAGTTATATTGCAATCAGACTGAAACTGTAACATTTTGAAAATATTTTAATTCAAAAGAAATTTCTTTATTTAACAAGAGGCCCATGGGCCACATCGCTCACCTGTGCACTGTGGCTAGGTAAGTATAAATTGGTTTATTATTGAAAAGGTAAAATCCAAAAGTAGTCCCATGAACAATCATGGATTTTCTATCTTTGAGAAAATTTTTCAAGAATTTTCCTATATATGTCTATGTAAAACTTTGGTCGGCCATTTTGGCCCCGCCCTAACCCCGTGGGTCATGATTTGAACAAACTTGAATCTACACTACCTGAGGATGCTTCCATATAAATATGATGAATTATAGCTTTGTCATTTTGAGAAGAAAATTTTTAAAGAATTTTCCTATATATGTCTATGTAAAACTTTGGTCAGCCATTTTGGCCCTGCCCTACCCCCAGGGGTAATGATTTGAACAAACTTGAATCTACACTACCTGAGGATGCTTTCAGATAATCATGATGAATTATGGCTTAATCATTCTTGAGAAGAAGATTTTTAAAGAATTTTCCTATACATTTCTATGTAAAACTTTGGTCGGCCATTTTGGCCCCGCCCTACCCCCGGGGGTCATGATTTGAACAAACTTGAATCTACACTACATGAGGATGCTTCCATATAAATATGATGAATTATGGCTTTGTCATTCTTGAGAAGATTTTTAAAGAATTTTCCTATATATTTCTATGTAAAACTTTGGTCGGCCATTGTGGCCCCGCCCTACCCCCAGGGGTCATGATTTGAACAAACTTGAATCTACACTACCTGAGGATGCTTCCATATAAATATGATGAATTATGGCTTTGTCATTCTTGAGAAAAAGATTTTTAAAGAATTTTCCTATATATTTCTATGTAAAACTTTTGTCGGCCATTTTGGCCCCGCCCTACCCCCGGGGGTCATGATTTGAACAAACTTGAATCTACACTACCTGAGGATGCTTCCATATAAATATGATGAATTATGGCTTTGTCATTCTGGAGAAGATGATTTTTAAAGAATTTTCCTATATATTTCTATGTAAAACTTTGGTCGGCCATTTTGGCCCCGCCCTACCCCCAGGGGTCATGATTTGAACAAACTTAAATCTATACTACCAGAGGATAATTCCCCATAAGTTTCATCTTTCCTGGCACAGTGGTTCTTGAGAAGAAGATTTTTAAAACATGCCACCAAATTTTCATTAATTGCCAATTATCTCCCCTTGAATGAGGGCGTGGCCCTTCATTTGAACAAACTTGAATCCCCTTCACCCAAGGATGCTTTGTGGCAAGTTTGGTTGAAATTGGCCCAGCGGTTCTTGAGAAGAAGTTGAAAATGTGAAAAGTTTACAGACAGACAGACAGACAGACGGACGCCGAACAAAATGTGATCAGAAAAGCTCACTTGAGCCTTCGGCTCAGGTGAGCTAATAACCATCACAACACCATGCATTCACCAAAATCTAAAACCAATATACTAAATTATGTACAGTGTATCTCTGTCTAGTCTACTTGTGTGCCAAGTTACATTGATGTAGGAGGAGTAGCATTTTGAAAAAAATTGAAAAATTGATAACAGATGGGAGGACAGACGACGACAGACACCTTACTATCACATAAGCTCTTCTGGTCTCTGACCAATAGAAATAAAAATGATAGTTCTTCCTCTCTCTCTCTTTTCATGAAAATGTTTTATTCTGTTTCCAAAAAGAACAATTTCTCATCAGCTTTTTTCCTTTAATTATTAATTAAAGCATAAGTAAGTACATTATAATAAATAATAATAAAAAAAACTATTTTATACTATGTCATAAGATTAAAATATTATATTCATATTTCCTTCCAATGATAAACTTGAAAAAAAAAACAAAACATAATTTTAAGGAAATATGATAATTGTAAAAAATGGTTATTTCTTGCATAATTCTTCTGCAACATTCCAGAAAATAAAGCCAAAGAAATATAAGCTACACATGATGCTCATGACTAAATGAAACAAAATGAACAAATATAAAACTTTTATAAATTAAATGTTTTACCTAACCAAAACATAAATTAATAAATATTTCACCTAAACATTATATAAAATAGAATAAGTGATCAAAAAATTTGCAAACTATTGCTGTATATATATAATTGACCACAATTCAGATCAAAATGAAGTTAGGCATTTACATGTACATGTGGTCATAGACATGATCTGCTGTGAAATCACAAAATATCATGGGGGGTTAATTTTCGTTGTTTTCAAGGTATGAAGATCGAGACCCACAAATTCATGTCCAACTCGAAATGTAAAATATTACATAACTACTCAATAATTCTTCATCCACGAATTCAAGTCCTCATGAACCTATACTTTTTGCTCGAACCACGAAAATCTGACCTCATGAAAATATGTGATTTTACAGTATTTCGTGTGTTATCTAAATATCTTGCTCCATATTTACGATGTTGCTATTTGAAAATGACAAATAGAGAAAGCACAGACATTTTGGATACATGATGCACCCAAGAGAGAGAAGAATATCCAAGACAGAGGCATTGGGTTGTGATGGGCATTATGCTTATATGTTTGTAAAAAGTTATACCATTCCACCCACAGTATTGCTGAGATTTGACATTGTGACTAATGGACTGTTCTTCTTAAAAATAAAATAACCTACATGCAATAAATAAAAAAATCAGATAAATATTTTAGCTGCTGTGAACAGTATGCTAAAAGGCATTTCACATGACTGCCTGGACCACAAATTTTGTGTGCTCAGGATGAACAGTGGCTGAAGGAGATCCAACATTAAGTTAATAATGAAGGAACACTTAAACTTAATTGATCAATGAAGTTATTCAATTACATTGCAAACTTTTTGATCACCCAACTTAAATACTCGGTTATACAAAATGTCTACATTGTATAATATGTGAGATATTGTAATTTTACAATGGAATGTTCAAGTAACCATCACAGATAAAGGAGCATTGTGCCAAGAGTGTGACATATGTACAGCAATACAACAAGAGTGAGAAATGTCTCCATTTGAGATTCTAAACACATCTAAATACTGTATACAGGGTTATTTTCGCTTTGTGTTATTTTTGACATTTCACACTGGCAAACAATTTTGTCCCGTTTTAAATTCGCCCTGTCATAGTTCTGTTTAAGAAATTATGCAGTATTATTTAAATTCACCCAAATGAGTTTAGGCGAAAATAAAAATGGGGGTGAAAATTTCCCTGTATACAGTACATGTATAAATATAATTATTTGTAAAGACTTCTGAATATAGTCAGGATACACTGTAACAAACAGATAAATACCCAGTATCATAACATCCATTTAATATTAAATAAAAACACACATTAAAAGGTAATACATGTTGTTAATCCACTAACAAGATACTTATAAGATTCCTTTCTGAAAAATGACTGGTTGACAAAAAAAAAAAAAAAAAATATCAGCAGTTTCATATTAAATGTCAATGACTTAAAAACTAAGTCATAATAATGTATTATGTGTATAATATTAAATTTGACTTTTCTTCAATAAAATTTATGGATAAAAAAAACATTGCCAAAAATTTTATATGACATTTCCATGACTGGAAAATGGTTCACTATGTACTAGGATGGAAGGTATAAAATATATGGAATAATACTTGTATTGTATACAACACTGAATGGATTAAAATATTGCCAATAAATTTTACTCACTTAACTACAACTAGAAGTAAGTAATCATTGTATGTAAACTGTACGTGCTCTATGAAATCTGCCATTTATCAAAAGTAATACTCCTTTTCTCTCTTTGAGGAGACATTTCCAGGAGACACGCTATTGCTGTGATTCGCTGTTCTTTCGTCGGTATGACTGTCTGTGTGATTAGTGAGTGAATTTTCCTGAGGTGTGTTTGTTGCTGAGTGTTCCATTTCCTTTAGGAGTCCCCTGACACACGGTAAGAATTGTAAAACAGACTGAAGGTGACTGACACTTCCTTGAAGTTCCTGAATTGACGTCTCACGAACCTTTGCCGCCTCCTCTAGTTGCTGTATTCGGTTCTTTAAGGTCTGTATTTCCCGATTTTTGTTCTCTTCTAGTTGCACGAGCTGTTGGTCACGGTCCAGTAATTCCTGATTCTGTTGCTGAACCATTCCTTCTAACGACTGGATTTGCTGATGCATAGCATACAGATGCCTGTTTGCCTCATCTATACTGCTTCTACTTAACATCCTAGGGACGAAAAGCATTAAAATGTTGAAAAGACAACAAAACTCTTGAATACAGTCATACACCATAATACCAGTGCAGCTGACTAAAATATGTAAACATAGAAAAATCTTTTGAGGAAATTCGAGCGGTGTGTACTAAGTTACCACACCCCCTTAAGCAATATCCCTTTTAGGGTCATTGACAGCTGATTGACTATCTGGGTATACAATAATACTTGCAGTCAAAACTTCCCTCACCTTTTTCTATTAATGTCACCTCTGAAAAATAATTGTCGTCAGCATCTGACAAGTTTCCCTGCACTCGGTTGCACAAAAGGAAGTTTACGTTTGCTGTGACATGCGGACAACGTGAAAAATGATTGTCCAATGAAAAATCGCGATATATATCTGTGGATGTAGCTAGCCAATGACCTTTGATGTATTGTAATGGTATGGAAGGCAGAAATACGCGCCATTACTTGATGAGAGGGAGATGACATTATGGCCAAAGTTAATATCAGCAATGTTGTTGTTTTAGATAATCCATCACCGTTTCTTAATCCATTTCAGTTCGAGATTACCTTTGAATGTTTAGAAGATTTACCTGAAGGTTGGTTAAAGGCTTTTGTTTTTGGTGTATGGAAAAGGGGGTTACCTATTGTTCTATCAGTCTGCACAGTTGGTTATGAATAATTGTGTCATTAAAGTTTTTTCAGGGAGGGGTAATTACTTAAATAAAACACCCTCCTTCCGGCTTCCCCCAACACAGAAAACACACATCAGGTATCAATCATCAAATGTATTGGATTCTGAATCTGACGAAAATACATGTATATTTATCTTTCAAAACACAATCACGACCGAGTGTAAAAATTGATAGAACAATAGATACTGAATAGAAGTGTGACTGTTTATGACTCCTAAATGTATAAGACTGCAAGCACCTGTTAAAAGTTGATCATTTAAACACCCCCCCCCCCCCCCCGAATAAAGGAAGAAGGAGGCTGTGGTGTTATTACTACACTTCTCATTATATGATTGGTTGACAGTTAGACCAGGGACCTATATACTTAGGGGATAGGCAACTACTGCAAGCCTCGCGATATCTCGTAAGTCGCGGGATTTCGTAAGTCAACTTTAATTAATTATATCTCTAAAGCTATCGCATATTTGAGATCAAATCCTTTAAATATCTGTCAAAAAATCATTCAAGATTTGTTTTTAGCACATATTATACTCATTGTTTGGGTAGTAATTTTGTTTTATGCAAAATCAGCAGTTTCAGCACATGCCCCGATCGGCCATATTTCCGAGAAATCGCAGATTTCGGTGTTTGTTTTCTTCATATTTGAATGATACTTTTATTACGCTTTAAAATCTATTAATAAATCAATTCCAATACATAAAAGGAATAAATGATAATCATCAGAAAACATCCTGTTTACTGGGAATAAACGTAAATTGAAAAACTTGTAGTGTTGTGCGTGATGTTTTGGGTAGATAAACATGGCGATGAAGGAGTTGCCTATCCCGTTAGTATATAGGTCCCTGGTTAGACAGATTGAATTGTTAACCATCAACTAATTAATATGTTGATGGTGCAACCGTTATGGCAAGCTCATATGTTTAGATCGGGCTCGTCAAACCCCACATGCAATTTGGTGCATCTAGACTCTGATGTCACATGACGTCATGTGTAAGTTACATAACTGAAAAGAAGCCTGAACAGTGCTGAAAGAAAGTGAAGAAGGCTTCGTTTACTATTTATCTTTGATATCTATCCATCAAGTCAAGGAGTGTTAACTTTTTGTTTAACTTTTGCTGCTATTCTTGCGAGAATGAAGCTCCATGTTTTCCTTTCCAAGTTTCACTAAGTGTAAGAAGTCCAAATGTTTAAAAGTAATGCTACGATAGGTTTGTCTAATATTTTTCCCTTAGATATCATAGCTGGCTGCGGCCGTTGCAGCCATTGTTTACAACGTTGTTGGAGGTGTCGATTGTGATGTCACAATGCTGCTGCACGTGCAATGACCCTCAAGTGAATACGGCCTCAAATCTGGTGAATATGTAGAACTGTTTGCATTTGTATAGAATATACTGTAAATCTGGAAATTTTTACTGTAAATAAATTTTTAGCAAATTTGCGCGTGCATTGCATTTGCAAAAATATTTTTCTTAAAAATAAATCAACAACAAAAAATGTAAACCAAAATTTTGCTGTCGGAAAGCTGGTGTCTATTTTTAACTCGGTGAACAGGTGTTCGTAAGCACTGGTCATTTCAGAAACCTGTTTATACAGTACATGTACAAGCAAATTACCCTTGCGTGTAAAGTGCCCTCAGTAGATTCAATATCGTCCGATGGTTTGACGGGTAGACAGGCACTGTCTGAGTGAGGCAGTATGTCTATTTTAAATTATTTTACCAAAAAGGAGAGGCCAGTTATTTTATCTGAAAGTCCTAACAAGGAATCCCTAGCATGGAAGCTTGTCAATGAGGAACTGCTTACTTATGTGAAACATATAAACTGCAGTGCTCCAAGTTGCGACTAAAATGGTCGCATTAAGACGCATTTGCGACCAAAAATCTGGTTTTGCGACTAGAAATTAAAACTAAGTCGCATTTTCGAGACTGAGAAAATTTGGGCTGGCAACGTCCATCTTTTTATGATCGGGAACGAGATTTACGTTTTCAAGATTCTCTATCAAGACAATGTTTGAAGATATACACTTTAACACACTTTGTAAAGCATTGTATGGAATTGGATCACGTAATGTTATGACAGCATGCTGTAATAGTAAAGTTTGATAGAACCAGAAATGTATATACATAACGTCTCTGAGAGAATGGCATCCAAACGTCGTAAACTTTCTAGAGTTTCTCTGACCTGGTTATTAAAGTATTTGGTCAATGGCTTGCATATCACAATTAATTAAGTGTTTTGGCGGCATTGATAATGACTGCGCTATGGGTAAGATACTTAGTAGTAAGTAAACAGGTAAGCACGATAAGCAATTGGCAAAGTCCTGTCTCAACAACTGTCTTTTTTTATTTTCTTTTGATTAAACTTTAATTCTAGGATCAGATTATGTGTGTTCTTCTGTGTACCATACAAAGGGTGGTTGTATTTAATAAAAATATATCCTTCAACTAGCAAAAGATTTCTAGTCACAGTAATCAATAATCTTTGATTTAATAAAAACATAACACATCTGGATGTTAGTTGATTGTTTTAATTGTGTTATTCACATGTTTTCATCATGGCGAGTGAAGAATTTGTTAATGGCGACCAGAAATTCTGAAATGGCGACCAAAAAAAGCACCAATAACAATTAGCAAAAATTTGAAACGTAAAAATTAATCAACAGCTTTTTGACCTAGATTTCGCAAAAATAAGTCGACGTAAAAATTTCCAGATTTATGGTGTAGGGACTATAAATAAACTAATGCCTCAAATCAACCCCAGTCAACAACTGTATATTCTTCATCCCCATGATAGCAACATTTGTGCTTTTGCAGTATTTGTAACCATTTGCATAGATTATATAGGGACTATAAATAGACTATGATGATGTACAAATTGCCTCCAGTCAACCCCAGTCAACAACTGTATATTCTTAATCCCCCCCCCCCCCCCCCCTTGATAGCAACATTAGGGGTGGGACGATATACTGATACATCGATACATATCGATATTTTCCTCCAAGATACGGTTTTCGATACAAGCATTCAAATTTCGGTACGAAACGATACACGAACGACCTATCCAAAAATTGAAAATGAAAGTACCTGTCCTTGGAAAATGGCGGCTTGTACGAGCGAAGAGATGATGTTGATATTGAAAACTCACTTTAGAACTAATAGGTCGTTGGTTAGGGGTAAAATGTTTTCACTTTTAAGCAGCCTCGGAAGATTGGTCGACAGATTGGACAAGAAAAGTTCAGTATGTAATGCGTGCTATACACAGAAAATATCGTTTCCAGAACATTTGATATTATTTAATTGTTGGTCCATCTTGTACTTTTTTTTTGTAATCTCAACTTGGCTACAGACTTTCAGCAATGAATTAATAAAAATGTAAATGTGATCGATGTTTTTTAAATGAATTTTTAGTCAGTGTTCTCTGATAAACTACACAACTATTTGTAGCCAACTTCTGAATAGTAATTTGGTTATAATAGTATGTACATGTATTATTGTTTTTGTAAAGTTTTAGTCAATTAAATTGATGAACTTCAAGTATTAATTTCAAAGTAAACATGACTTGATATAGAATAATTTGTTTAATTGATTTAATTAATGTCAAGACAAAAAAAAGAAATAAAATACTAATTTTTTTAAATAGTTTTATAACTTCTCATAATATCGAGATACGTATCGTATCGTGCCAATATATCGAGATACGTATCGTATCGCAAGATGTGTGTATCGTCCCACCCCTAAGCAACATTTTTGTTTTCGCAGTATTTGTAACCATGTGATAATTCTCTCTGAATGTTTTCAATTTTTTCTATAGATCTAGAGTGGAAGATAATTTATGTAGGAGCAGCAGAGTCTCTGTAACTATCATGTTACAGTTCTGTCTGAATACTTTCTATTTTATCTGTAGACTTGGAGTGGAAGATAATTTATGTAGGAGCAGCCGAGTCTCTGTAACCATCATGTAACAATTCTGTCTGAATGCTTTCTATTTTCTCTGTAGACTTGGAGTGGAAGATAATTTATGTAGGAGCAGCCGAGTCTCTGTAACCATCTTGTAACAATTCTCTCTGAATGCTTTCTATTTTCTCTGTAGACTTGGAGTGGAAGATAATTTATGTAGGAGCAGCCGAGTCTCTGTAACCATCTTGTAACAATTCTCTCTGAATGCTTTCCATTTTATCTGTAGACTTGGAGTGGAAGATAATTTATGTAGGAGCAGCTGAGTCTCTGTAACTATCATGTAACAATTCTGTCTGAATGTTCTCTATTTTCTCTGTAGACTTGGAGTGGAAGATAATTTATGTAGGAGCAGCCGAGTCTCTGTAACCATCTTGTAACAATTCTCTCTGAATGCTTTCTATTTTCTCTGTAGACTTGGAGTGGAAGATAATTTATGTAGGAGCAGCCGAGTCTCTGTAACCATCTTGTAACAATTCTCTCTGAATGCTTTCTATTTTATCTGTAGACTTGGAGTGGAAGATAATTTATGTAGGAGCAGCTGAGTCTCTGTAACCATCATGTAACAATTCTGTCTGAATGCTTTCTATTTTCTCTGTAGACTTGGAGTGGAAGATAATTTATGTAGGAGCAGCCGAGTCGGAGGAGCATGACCAGACCCTGGATTCTGTGTTAGTGGGACCCGTGCCTGCAGGGAAACATATGTTTGTATTTCAGGTAACCATTAACATCTTCTCCAACCAATAACAGATTTGTAACTAAATTTTTCCTTAGTGATCATTGGACCTGTTCATAACAGGTCTTTTATAATTCATTAATTGTATAAAACGTTTTAGATTACAGTAATAAAGGAAATTACTCAAATTAGCCTCACACTTGATTCTGACCTTTGTAGGCTGGTCCCCCAGACACGGTGAAGATACCAGTACAGGATGCTGTGGGCGTGACCGTCGTCCTCCTAACCTGTTCGTATCGCAGTAGAGAGTTCATCCGAGTGGGATACTATGTCAACAACGAATATTCTGACCCTGAACTTAAAGAAAATCCACCAAGTTCACCTCAGTATGATAAGGTAAAATGAGGAAATCTAGGGATATTAATAGTGGCAAAATGCACCATTCCAAGTAATTGTAACTCCAAAAAATAATGTAGTTGGGCCAAAATAAAATTGTTTGTTTGGAATTGCCTCCCACCTCATTGAAATGCCCCCTCCTGAAAAAAATTTTATTGACTATAAGTAGACAGATTTTTTTTTATTTAATCAATTTTTTACCTGTTGTCACATGCACCATACAAAACACTGAAATGTAGTGTCAGATCTATGCAAAATTAGGTTTCTTTGTTGATGCTAGATACTTTTTTTTTTTTTTTTTAAAAAGTCAGAAAATGTATTTACTGTTTATTGAGATTTTAATCAAAAATTTGAAATTTATCTTCAATTTTGAAAAAAAGGATAATTTCCCTCCCTCCCTCCTGTGTCTGAAACCCTTCAGGCGGCAATTCCAAACAAACATTTTTTTAAGGATGGCCTTGTTGGAAATTATTGAAGATGAGAGGAGGAGAAAACGTTAAACAGTTCTGAAGCATTGAGATAAAGCCGAGGTTAATATGAGATAAAGCCGAGGTTAATATGAGATGAAGCCAAGGTTAATATGAGATGAAGCCAAGGTTAATATGAGATGGAGCCAAGGTTAATATGAGATGGAGCCAAGGTTAATATGAGATGAAGCCAAGGTTAATATGAGATGAAGCCAAGGTTAATATGAGATGGAGCCAAGGTTAATATGAGATGAAGCCAAGGTTAATATGAGATGAAGCCAAGGTTAATATGAGGTGAAGCCAAGGTCAATATGACATGAAGCCAAGGTTAATATGAGATGAAGCCCAGGTTAATATGAGATAAAGCCGGACTCAGACACGTGACCTGCGACGGTGATGGTCATGCTATAGATCGGAGGGTAATTAGTCGAATTTTGGGTAGGTAAAACCGTTTTTTGTGCCCTAAAATCGTTGCACTGGTGTTTATAGTCATATTTGCTACCGAATTTGTGCATTTGTTGACCTTTTTGGTGAAAAAGTGACTTTTTTTCAAAATGAGTGACTCAAAGTATAAAGGTGAGAACTCCTCACAGGTACGAAATCCTGGTTTAACACCTTTACCCGCAGCGGTCAGTGGAGCATTAAGCCATATGTCCGTTATCGACACCAGCCTTCGGGCTATAACGGAAAAGATGGACTCTTTTAATACTCTGCAAGAGTCGTTGAATAATATGCAGAAGGATCTGTGGAATGAGGATGGACTAGATGACAGAATTAGATACATCGCTCAACAGCATGAAGACAACCAGTCTGAAATTGAAACCTTAAAACAGGAAAATATTACCCTCCGTAAGGAACTTCAGCTGTTGAAGTCGATTGTTGTAAATTTAGATAGGAAAGTGACACAACAAGAAAGTGAGATTGTAGACCTGAGAGGAAGATCTATGAGAGATAACATTCTAATCCATAATCTGGCAGAAGAGGAAAACGAAGATCTTAATGCAAAAGTTCACCAGATCATAAGTGATCATTTAAAACTGGATATCGGTTTTGTCAGAATCCACCGTAACGGACCTAGAATGCCAGGCAATAAACCCAGAACCATTACGGGAAAACTACGCGACTCTAACGATAAGGACCGGATTCTGGCAGCCCAAAGAGCTCTGCGGGAAAAGGAGAAAAAAGAGAACAAGGAGAAAAGTGCCTTACCTTGCTACATTACACCTCAAACACCAGTGCAAATTAACGAAAGTAGAAGGAGGCTTAAGGAGATCAATACACAGTACAGAATGAACAAAATAGAGACCAAGATAATTGGGAATAAAGTTGTGTTTCCTAATGGAAATGTGTATCGGGAAAAGGTTACCACGCCTAGAGCTGAAGATCTACTCTTTGTGGACGAGGCAGAAGAGGAAAAGTTAAACGAGATAGAGGCGGTGACAAGTGATCCTATCTATGAGGGTGGCAATGTCTTCAAAGCGGTGGCTACAAAAGCGAGTACGTATGCAGAGGTCAGACAGTTTTACAAAAAAGTTATGAGTGACCCGAACTCCGCCAACGCGCACCATTACGTCCTAGCATATCGGATACAAGATGCACAAGGGAACATCCGCGATGGATACTGCGATGATGGAGAATACGGCGCAGGTAGGAGAGTGGTCCGGCTTTTAGGAGATCAGAGTGCCACCAACGTCGCATTCGTTATTTCAAGGAAATCGGGAAATCATATCGGACCAAGGCGCTTCGATATCATATGTGATGCCGTGCTCAATGCTGCCAATAAACTCTGAACAGCTAAAGAAATGAATTATTTAACACCCATTTTTTCTGTTATCTTTGGATAATGTCTCTTTAAACTTAATAAGTACTATACATGTACACATTTTCTTTCTGTAGGTGTATGTGAAATCGCTTAGGTACATTTATATGCATCTTATACCAGTTTAACTCTTGTATCGGAAAACAATATACATGTATATTTAAGTTTAGATACTGCCTGTAACCATGCAGTATATGTAGGTTCCTTTTTTCTTGTCTTTTTTCGAAATTCAAGTGTAATATACGTATATTTCTATTTATTTAGTAGATAGGCCTATAGAAAATATCATATTCATCTTTTTGTTTAAAAAAGAAAGAGGAAAAAATGTTTTTAAATTTAGTTCCCCTATTCCTATTGTCTCCTAAAAGCTACAACGTCTTTTTTCTGTTTAAAAATATTTTTTGTTTGTTTGTCTTTTTACGGTTAAAAGGTTTATGCTTGTCGTATGTTTTTTCCGGGAGTGTATAGTTTATTCGGACACACTTTATTTTTATGTTGTAGTAATAATGTCCGGTTACGAGGGGCACAAAATTATTTTTAGTTGATAAACATCAGATAAGCCTTATTCGGCTAATTTTTCTCTTCGTTATGACCACATCAGAGGCTACGAAACCTGCTGTTTGTAAATATGTTTCATTTTTGTTTTACTCTATCAGTTTCCTTCTTTTCTTTCTTACCGCTTTCATTTTTCGGGGGTTGACAATACAAATTTACCACGCGTGTTATGGGGGACCAAGTTGACAATAACCAGTTAAAAATACTCACAGTAAACTGCCAGGGCCTGGGTGATAAAAACAAAAGAAGAGATGTCTTGAATTACCTCAAAGGTAAAAAGTACAATGTATATTTTCTTCAAGATACACACTTTACAAGTAGTGAAGAAAATTTTTTACAGTCACAATGGGGATACAAGGCCTTTTTTAGTTCATTTAAGTCAAATTCTCGCGGGGTTGCAATATTTTTCAATAACAATTGTGAGTTTGAAGTACATAAAACTAGTAAAGATGACACTGGAAATTTTTTGATTGTAGATGTGACTATTGAGGGTTTAAATTTTCTATTGGTAAATATTTATGGTCCAAATTTAGATACACCAATTTTTTATTCAAACCTTTTGAAAAAGATTGAAGAATTTTATTCCTCACAGTATATAATAATGGGTGGGGATTTTAATTTGATCTTAAATAAAGAGTTGGACTCTATGAATTATAAAAACATAAATAACCCAAATGCAAGAGAAGAAGTGTTAAATTTAAAAGATACTCTGAATCTGATAGATGTTTTTCGAGAAAATAATCCCAAACTTAGACAATTCACATGGAGACGGAAAAATCCAATTAAACAGGCAAGACTTGACTTCTTCCTCATGTCTGAATCTTTATTGCCCATGATACCTAATATAAAACATGAAAACAGTTATCGCTCTGACCATTCTCCAGTCGTTGCATATTGTAAACTAAATGAGTTCACAAAAGGAAAAGGTTTCTGGAAATTAAACAATTCTCTGTTAACAGATAAAGACTATGTGGAATTAATTAAGCAAAAAATAATTGAGGTCAAAAGCCAGTATGCATGTCCAGTTTATAACATGGAAAACTTAAGTACTGTGAATGATGAAAATTTACAATTTACAATATGTGATAAATTATTTCTGGATACTCTGCTAATGGAAATTAGGGGGAAAACAATATCATATTCTTCTTTCAAGAAAAAGAAAATAAAAGAGCGTGAAGTTCAGTTAGAAAAAGAGATATTAGACCTGGAACAGAACATAACAGAAAATACTGTAGATAATCTATCAAAAAAACAAAAAGAAATTGAAAAAATCAGAATAAATAAAATGAAAGGCCAGTGCATTAGATCTCGAGTTAAATGGATTGAGGAAGGGGAAAAACCGACAAAATATTTTGCAAGTTTAGAGTCTAGAAATTATATCAGTAAACAAATTCCTAAAATTATTAAAGAAGATGGGTGTACGATATCCAATCAAGAGGACATTTTAAATGAAACAAAGATATTTTATGAAAATTTATACAAAAAAAGAGAAAATGTTAAAACAGATGATAGCATTTACAATAGACTAAAAGATTATGATATACCAACACTAAGTGAGAGGGAATCAGCAAGTTTAGAGGGACCAATAACCAAAGATGAAGTTTTATATTTTTTGAAAAACATGAAAAATGATAAAAGTCCAGGACCAGATGGATTTACGTGCGAGTTTTTTAAGTTCTTTTGGAAAGATATTGGTATATTTGTGACAAGGGCAATAAATAATGCAAATGAATTAATGCAATTTTCAGATGTAAATAGACTAGGAATAATTACTTGTATACCAAAAGCAGGAAAACCAAAAGAATTTTTAAAAAATTGGCGCCCCATTAGCCTTTTAAATGTTATTTATAAATTAGCATCTGGGTGTATAGCTGAACGAATAAAAAAAGTTTTAAAGAAATTAATACATACAGATCAAACTGGATTTTTAAAAGGAAGATATATTGGAGAAAATATTAGATTGATTTATGACATAATGGATTATACAGAATGCAATCAAATACCAGGACTTTTAATGCTTATAGACTTTGAAAAGGCTTTTGATACTATCTCGTGGAATTTTATTTATGAAACACTTGATTTTTTCAATTTTGGAAAATCAATTAAAAGTTGGATAAAGACTTTTTATAGCAATATTAAGTCCTGTGTCATACAGAATGGGTTTATTTCTAATTATATATATCCAGAAAGGGGATGTAGACAGGGGGATCCTATATCTCCATACCTCTTCCTATTGTGTGCTGAAATTTTGGGTATTTTAATTCGCAAAAATGAAGATATAAAAGGTATAACAATAGATGGAGAAGAGTATAAGATTTCTCAGTATGCAGACGACACATCACTTATTTCTGATGGATCACCTGAATCTATGGATGGAATTCTCAGAGAATTAGACTACTTTGCAAACTTATCAGGGCTCAAAATAAATATTCAAAAAACGAAAATGATATGGATTGGTAGTAAAAAATTTTCAAAAGATGTATATCATCATTCTAGGTGGAAGTTAGACTGGAAAAGCACAACTTTTGATCTTTTAGGGATTAAGTTTTCTGTAAATTTAAAAGACATGATTAATCTTAATTATACATCAAAGTTAAGTGAAATTAAAAAGGTATTGAATCAGTGGAAACTAAGAAAATTAACCCCCATTGGTAGGTTAACTGTAATTAAGACATTGATTATCCCTAAATTAAATCACTTGATTCTTACTTTACCTAATCCACCATTAGAAATTATAAAAGCTTTTGAGGATGAAATTTATTTTTTTCTTTGGGGAAGTAAAGTCCATAAAATAAAAAGAAATACTATAATTCAAGACTACACGGATGGTGGCCTTAGAATGGTTGATTATTCAGAGTTTATAATAGCATTAAAATCAAGTTGGATAAGACGATTAATTCACTCTGATTCTAAGTGGGTAAAATTATTTCAATCACAAATAAACAGAGATATTAAAAATCTTTGGTTAATGGGTACAGACTTTACTGCTAAATTATGTAAAAAAATAACAAACACTTTTTGGGTAGATGTCCTTAAAAGCTGGCTCAAAATATGCTATGCAGAGCAAGAGAAAAATAAAAATATATTCCAAGAACACATATGGTATAATCCAAAAATAATCATGGGTGGGTCTTCTGTCTTTCTTAAAAGCTACTTTAATGCTGGTTTTGTTTTCATAAGTGACCTGTTCAACTTAGACAAGAATTTCTTAAGTTTAGACGCTTTTAAAGACCTTGGTGTAAAAACAAATTTTGTTGAATTTTCTGGTTTGAAACAGGCTGTGTGTGACAGATTTGTTAGCAAAAACCAAATGAATATATTTCTTTCTTATGGTCCAAATTTACCCAGTTCTGTGAAGATGTTTTACATTAATATGAAAGGCTGTAAAGATATGTATGACATTCTTATTAATAGAAAGAAAGAAACAAGTACTTCCATTTTAAAATGGAATGAAAAGGGATATCTATTCACCATGCAAGAATGGAGTAAAATTTTTGAACTCCCATTTAAAATTACCAAAGAATCTAAACTGCAGTGGCTACAATTTCAAATTTTACATAGAATAGTTCCAACAAATTTATATCTTTTTAAACTTAAGATAAAAGAATCTCCAGCATGCAGTTTCTGTAAGACTGACATTGAGTCAATTGAACATCTTTTTGTTGAATGTAATTTAGTAAAAGAGCTTTGGAGTGATATTGAAGAGTGGGTTTTGTGTAAGTTTAATATATCTTTAATTTTTGACAGAACAACAATATTATTTGGCAAACATAAGAATAAGGATGCCCATAAAGTGCAAAATTTGATGACACTGATAATTAAGAATTATATTTTTTTGACTAAATATAAAAATCCTTCTGTTCTAAGTATAATGACTTTAAAAACAATTATTGAGGAAAGATTCTTGATTGAGAAATTTTTACTTTTGAAACAATGTAAATATACAGAGTATGAGAATAACTGGCAGAGCATCTGTGATATGATATGATTCATTTGTACAAGTCTACATTTACTTATGTATTTATGAATTTTTTCAAGAAACAAATCTTAATCTTTACACCCCCCATAATGTAAAGAAAAAAACAACAACACTATGCCCCTTATATATTTTTTGTTTTTGATTTTCTCTTTTTAATGTTCTTTTCTCGCTCCCTCTCTCTTTCCTCTTCTCCTCCTTTTTCTATCCTATATATTAAAACAACTTTCACATGTGTTTAATTAAATGTGAATTTATGTATGTGGATGTCCTTTAGTAAATTTAATACTTGTATATGCTATCTATAATAGATACTTGAAGGAAGATATATTTGTGAACATACTTTTGTATATACTTGTTTGATTTAAATGTGAAAGTTGAAATAAAAAAAAAAAAAAAAAAAAAAAATATGAGATAAAGCCAAGGTTAATATGAGATAAAGCCAAGGTTAATATTAGATGAAGCAGAGGTTAATATGAGATGAAGCAGAGGTTAATATGAGATGAAGCCAAGGTTAATATGAGATGAAGCCAAGGTTAATATTGATGTGTTCCTGGTGAATGTCAAACCATATTAACCACATAAAGAGTCCATAATTGTTTTACTGTATAGTCTTATTTGACCAATATTAAATGAATAGTCAATGAAATGGAAGAGTGCATGGCAACGCCATTTTCATGAAGGAAATTCTATTGCAGAAAGATTTTGAAATTTCCAGATTACAAGTTGTATTCTGACTTTCCTTTTTTCATGTCGATCAGTGTATAGAGAATAACTAAAAATACAGGGATAGTCATAAAACTGATTTTCCTGCTCTGATATACACTTGTTCTGGATGTCGCAGTCATCATAAAATTGAAGTTTTTGTGACATCAAAATCAACTCTGTACATGCACTGACTCTCCAGTAAATATGGTCTTGAATCCAGTGAATATTGCAGTATAATAAACCGTTTGCAATTCTTTGTTTCATAGGGACTATACATTATGTAAATGTATTATAGTAAACTGTTTTATTGATAAAACATAAATATTTTTGTTTTAGGTGGAGAGAAATATCCTAGCTACCAATCCTCGAGTGACAAGATTTAAAATAGACTGGGATGACACTGCTGCGACAGATTCAGAAAATGTACCGCCCACCAATAGCACAGAATCAGAGTCCAATCAAATGAAAGACGTCTCGTTATCAAGCAGTAGTAAACCACTGGCCGCTACATTTAGTACGGAAAGTAACAGCAATATGGAGGTCAACTGACATTGCTCAAAGGGTCATAGGTCATCTCTACGGCAGCACTCACTCCATAGATTCCTTCACTGTACCACTTACCTCAGCTATTTATTAATTCAGGATGAACTGAGTTAATTATTTGAACTTCGTATTATTTTTCTTTGTTTAAGAAGAAGCAAATTTAGATGTTGTCCATACTAAGAGTTCTGTTGGGTTAAATTGAGATAAAAAGTAGAAGAATCGAAAAAAAAATCAAGTATAACTGTCAAAAAATCCAATTTTTTTGTAAGACTCTTGCAATTACATGAAAATTTTAATTTTATAAATTTAATATCATGTAGTCTGGTGAAAAATTTTGTTTTACTGAAATTTGTTATTTTCTTTTAACCTAGTTTATCTACAATTATATGAACTGTACAGTAGAAATTAATGTTAATGTTTGTATTTGATTTTGATAAATTGTAGATAAAAAAGTGATAACTGTAATATCAATACCATAATTATTTATTTGTTTTCATAGTATTCAGGTAATCAAAGCATTCTGTCTGGATTCATGAAGAATGTTTAATGACGCACAACAATGAAAGTTCTATAATTACAAAAAAACAGGATTAAATTCTACAAGACATTGCCATTCAACAATGTACTGAATAAGAGAATTGTATGCCTCAAGAATCATGCTATATTCCAACTCTTGTATTAATTGCTGTTATATTGTGAAAAATTCAAACCTCTTGTGGGGTATTCTAATAAAAGTGTGATAAATTGAATACTTAAAAGCTATATTCATGTATGTGTATTTAGTCCAGTATATAAATGCCAAAATCCACAGATCATTTACTAGATAAAAAATTTATTTTGAAATGGAAGATGAATTTAGCCAACTAAAGAGTTCAATTATTTGAACACAAAGAATTTTGTTGGTATTTTGAATTCTTTTGAGAGGTGGTTCTGAAGTGTATAAAACAAAGTGAAAGAAATGGAAAATGTTCCTTTAAAAAAAAAAAAAAAATTAGGGGACACCCGGGTTCGAACCGGGGACCTCTCGATCTGCAGTCGAATGCTCTACCACTGAGCTATATCCCCTCTTGATGCATGGGGAACATTTGTTGGATAAATAATTTACTTTTTTTCCTGAATAATACATGGAGCAAAATTTTTCATAAGTAATAATATGAATATAAGAGGACATTATTTCAAATATGATCAGCACTGGAGTTATCAAACTTTTTCACCGGTGTGGGTTTTTTTATTGGCCAGTGTCTCTACGTCATTTTCTACCGTTGCCAAGAGCAACAGAAAGAAGCTTGATACGGGGATTTTCAAATATGGCGTCTCGCATAAACTAAACTGAGCACTTGCTTGATCTTGTGTAAATTAGGTTCTTCTTCAATAAATACATTTAAAACACAGGTAAGAAAACAACATAAAGAAACAAAGTAGAATGCTATTTAGTTTAGGCAGAGATAAAAATAAATCGGTGTCTTTTGTCTATATTGTATCGAACATTTAGTCATATTCGGTTTATAGCCTTTCTAATAAATATGGATAGTGCATATAGTCTTGCATCTGTATAATAATAAGTACAGAGAGATACATTTAAGAGATTAAATGTTATAAGTTTGCAACAACCTTTTTTATGATACAATCTTATTTCGAATTTCCTCTGTTACATATCAGGAACCATACGATACACCAATTTGATTTTCTCTTTAACTTATTACTTTTGTCATTCCTCTTGTTACATATCATGAATCATACGAATTATGGATGTTACGATATCTCATTACCCATTTACTTATTTATTTTGATTTGTTTTCTATCATAAGTGATGGACGATACATCAGAAAAGGAGAAAAAGTCAGCAGAACAAAATGAAAAAGATCAGGTAGCCTTATGATAATTGAAGAACAAGCATAAAAGGAAATGTAAATTGTTGGTAGATTCTGTTGGTTAGACCAGAGACATAAATAACAGATTCGCAACTGTTCAAAGTCTCGCATGATCGCTCGTTCCCTTAATCGTTTAATTTTTCAAATCTCGTGAAATCTTGTGCAACTTAAATTGCAGAAAACTTTAAAATTATCAGGGATTACATAGTATCTTTTTAAAATTTTTATTATTAATTATTCACGATATTCTTTTTTCGTAAGTTTGTTTATGTAATGCGCAATAACAAAGGAGAAATCTGAAATTACAACAGCTAGGTGACCCTTGGTCGGCCATGTTTCCGCGATTTTGCCGACTGTCGATCATTAACCTCTTTTATTTGCCTAATTTGCTTTTAAAGATCATTAAAACTTTACAAATCGGACACCCAAATATTGTATGATTAATATTAATTTTACTTTCCCATGAAATACAAGACATAAGAAGAGTTATTCTTAGGAAATTAAGTACCAGGACTGTCGCATATTTCGGTAAAGAAACATGCTAATGGCGGAGTTGCGAATCTCTGTCATTTATGTCTCTGGTTAGACTAAAATTGGGAAAATAATTTCTTATCTCTAACATCTTCTAGGATACTACTGGGAAGAAAACGCCCAAATCGGGTAAACCTGGAAGTGGGAAAAGGGTATCCAGTGGTCAGAAAAGTCCCAAAGGTGGTAAAACAGAGAAGGGAAGAGCCACACCTTCTAAAGGTTGGACTTCTTTTTTTGTTGAAAACAAACATAAAATCAATTATAACTAGTTAATTATTTAATATGTGTACAGATCAATAGAACTGAAACAATTATGTATCTGTAATGGATTTTTTCAGGGAATGTGAAGCCAAAACAAGCTGAGGAGAAGAAGACAGAAGAAGCTACCGAGGAGGAGGGAGAAGAAGGTAACTGCTGATTTCCTTTGTTGTATTATAGAATGGAGTGATTGAGATTTGATTGAGTTCTTGAAGAGAGAGGAAGCTTGGTTAATGTTTGTTGTAGATGCTAAGAATATAGGATAGTTGATAAGAAAGAGAATAAGGAAGCAAAAAGTACTACATTGCCTAACAGAAAATATGTTATGATATTGAATATGTTTATGGTTGACATTTTTAGGAATATAAAGTTATATAGTTAGAATGTTGATCACTGTTACAGGTCTTCCCGAGGGAGTTGTGGCTCTCTTTCTCTCCTCTAAGACTCAGGAGATTTTCCACTGCCGGGCTGACCAAGATGTCACGGAAGAAAATCCGATCAAAATTATCACCAAGCAGGAAATTCTGGACGACATGCGTAACAGGGCTGCCGTCTGTGACTTCCACCCCATCAAACAGGAAATTATTGTAAGTGAGAGAATCTACCGGTACTTTAGTCTACTAGTAGGAATAATGTCTTCACAATAATTTGTAAATTCTCTGTTCAGTTAAAGTTATAGTTCCACTCAAGTATTTTATTATTGGTACTGTATGTGTACTTAAAAAAAGCGGGCTTCATATTTTAGGGGCTTGGGTGAAAACAACTATGCACTAAATTATGAATACCACTAAGAAATTATTTACATATACAATACAATGAACGGACATGTGTAGCGTTAATTTATGATTACGCCAACAACTCCATACCCAGTGATTACTCTAAATTTTAAATAAGCCAAATTATGTACACATACAGTATTTGATCATTTATTCACTGATAACATATTTCATAAAAAAAGAATAATAAATTAAGTATTGAAAATAGAGCAGAAAAATATCTTTTATTACTTATTTAATGCCTTTCATATTTTTAACCATGGATTTCCTGTGAGATCCTGTGTATAATTATTTTTAGACCTTAGTTGTCTCTTGTTTTCTTAATTACGTTTTTGATTTTTATTTTTTTATTGACAGGATTACCCTACAGATGAGATTTTGGTGGTGTATGACTTTGACTTCAAGTTCGGACAGAATTTCTACTGTGCCATCACTGAGGAAGCCAAGGAGAAAATACTTAATGTAGGATTTGTTTGTTCTACCGTATTTGGCCGAGTATAATACGCATTGATGTATCTTGTGCAAATTTTGTGTCTGGAACTTCAATAAATACATGTATTATAAGCATCAGAAAATTTTACCAAATGATGTTCTGAACTTTGAAAATCGCGGTAGTTTGTAATGAAAATCGGCGCGAAGATTAAGTGTCAAAAAATTACAGAACACACATTTTTTTTTCAAATACATTTATATTTTTTTCTTAATCTGCAATTTCCATATCGCGGCAATCTGGAGAAAATTATTTATTTATTTATTGATTTCAACAAAGCACAAGATAATGTTGCGTAAAGGTGTTAACAGAATTTATTTTTTAAGCATACGGTGATTTTGAAATAATATGTGGCCATATAATTCTTTGGTGAAATAATTTTATATCAACAAAGCATGAGATATTGTTGCAAGTTTAAACAGTTGTCATATTTAATTTTGGTTCGAGGTAATCATGCTGAAAAAAGAAATTGAAACATCAAAGTATTTTAAAAATTAAGTAGACTTTTTTCTTTTGTGAATCGTCCCGGATATTTTATTTTCATAAAGCATAAATGATAACACTTAAGTTTTAGCTTACTTCATATTTAATCTGTTAAATCTCATTTATTTAAACAAGGGTTCGATAAGTATAAGATAAGGTAAAATTACATTTAACAAGTGTTTAATTGTTTAATGTGTCGTAATGAACACACGCTCACACATACGAAAGGTTACAAACCGACCCCCGCTTTTTAACAAAGAAAATAACCAAAGCAATTAAGGACAGTGAAAATAATCATCGCTATAACTGTAGAAACATAAATGCTTTGGAGTCGGTAGACAATTAATTGCCCGTAGGGGTGTAACGGGTGTTGAGAGGTAATTATCAAGTGACCAGCGCACGTGTGTCAAGACATTGGCTTTCTTTCATTGGGACGTATAAAGGGTGTTTGTGTTGCAGTGAATTTTCGCTGAGTTATTTAAAAACTAAAATAAAAATTTTATTTTATTGTATTTCATTAAAAAATGACTTATTACTTTGTCAGGCAGAAACATATGTACTATGATTACGGAAGCACGTGACAAAGGAATGTGTTAATGTCTTAAAATAGCATCGGTAATGGCGGCCTACACGATCGATAAACATGAAACAATTATTATTTTAACTTGCTTTTTCATGTCATTTTAGTACCAAAATATTATGAAAGTGTTATTTTTAACAAGCATACCTTCCAACAATAACTTTCTGAAGTTTAAAAATGACAGTAAACAAAAGAAGTTGTATATGTCTCTTTTACTACGGTATGTACGTTGATAGCCGTGTTTCAGAGAAGAAAAACTTTCAAAATCCCATTGTGATGAGAGAGGATACGCATCCCTTTCTCACAGAAATTTATTTTAGGAAAAAAGTGCGTATTGTATTCCCCCAAATACGGTATGTCCTATCACCTTCAAACTTGCTTATGTAATGTTTTAGTATCTTTGAATATAAAAAAAGTAAATAGTAATAACTCAAAATATTGATAAAAGATTATTAAAAATTTTACAAATGAAATATAAATTGTGTATTTGGGAGGCAATTGTTGAGTGGAGCTGACCAAAGAGATACTGAATGTGTTTGACAAGAGGCCTGATTTTATGATTTCAGCCCCAGGGACCGGACGGTGGGGAGGGAGGGGCCCAGGAAGAGGAGGTAATCTACACATACATACCCCCCGAACCGAAAGATTGGGTGTCACTGGGCAGCGAGAAAGAAATCAAGGAGGAGAGTGTCATAGAAAACAGACGAAGGGTAAGTCTAACTAGCTAAATAGACAAACATCTACACGTATATACCCCACAAACCTAAAGACTGGGTGTCACGTTGAGCCCAGAGGTTGAAATCAAGGAAGAGAATTTTATTAAAATAGTTGGAGGATGCAGTCTAAAATGGCTAACTAGAATAATAAATTAAGTATATCCTCATAAAGCTAAAAATATCTTTAATTACTCATCATGCTCATTTGAGGCCTTTCAAATTTTTTAAAGTATACATGTATACTAGTGAGATAAAATACAATTATTTTTATGAATATAAAACATTTTTGCTTTTTCTTTTTTTTATAGAAGATTTTTTTATATGAATATTTATCACACTGTATGATGATTTTACTAACCTCATAAATTTTTCATTTCACATGTGCCATCACCGAGTAAAAAAAAGAGAAAAAAAAAAATGTAAGGATTTGTTTGTTCTATGTTCCTCTCACATCAAAGCGAGCATAACCACTGAGCATCTTTGAATATAAAAGAATATATGCAGAACTAAGTCACAATATTATATATTCATGATTTCATGTAAAAAGCTTAAAATTTTACACAATCCATGGTGTTTGATGTATTTAGCCTTTATTAAACAGTTCTAATAGAGTAATACTAAGTGTGTATGACAGGAGGCCTGTTTTATACGCATAACTCTCATGCCCCAGGGAAAAATAGCGACATGTAATACTATAAATACTAATAAAACAAACGGGGCGGGGCACTTTGAGAGGGGCTGAGAGACGTCACTGGGCAGTTTTGGTATAAAATTACATTGCATAAGCTCAAAGAGTTCTTCAAATATCGCCGAAATGGTGTTACACACAACTAGAAAAAATTTACACACATATCCCTTTTGACCTCAAAATCAATAGGGTGTCACTGGGCACAGGGAGTTGTTATGTAAAATTTCATTGGATAGCTCAAATGGTTCTAGAAATACAGATGGAAACGTAAGTTTAACTAGAACAAAAATGCTTATTTATATTGACCTTTGACCTTTTGACCTAAAGAGAGGGTCTTCTTTAGTCCATAGGGAGTTGCTATGCTAAATTTCATTGCAAAAGCTCAAAGAGACTGTCATAGAAATCGTGTGGAAACAAAAGCGTTACAGACAGACAGTCTAACGGAGACGGACAAAATCCAAATTATATCCCCCACTTTTCAAGCGGGGGACAAAAACTGGGTGTCACTGGGCAGCAAGGAAGAGAGTGTCATAGAAAATAGACGAAGGGTAAGTCTGGTTAAAAGTGCCATAGATAAAAGACCCCCTCCCCATCTAGATCTGCGCATGCAGTGATTTTGTAAAATTTTGAATATGCAAGTTTATGTACATGTAAAGTAGGCAACAGGTATTAGTCTGATAGACAAGAATCTACACTCACAGTCATGCATGCCCTCTGTTAAATGTGCAGTTTCTTTCAATTAAATGTAAAATGTGGTTTAACTGTGTATAAATGATAGATTAACTGTTTCAATGAAGGTGTTGATTCCCTAATTTTTAAAAAAAATTTCAAGTTTGTTTGATTTACTGAGCTGTAAACTTTGTGTATTCTGACAGATTAAGGTATCAGTTAAGAGGGTTCGTAAGGAGTTTGGAGCACCTTACAAATTCAAAGATCGCAATGTGGCAGACGCCAAGGACGGCTGTATTGATTGTGCTTCATTTGACGACCGAACATTTGACCTTAAGAAAATGGAATTGGAAAAAAGTATTCAGGTAATCTAAATTAATAGTTACTTCATTGCAAAATACATATCGGTATATTGACCTTTGAAAGATTATAAAGTTTTGATCAATATCAGAAGTACTTTCCCTGACTCTATGTGAGCTACGTTTGTTTTTCAGTCTATCCCTGAGTGTGTGGACCAGGGGACCCAGACAGACTGGAAGTACCCCCGTAATAACTGTACCCAGTACCAACCCCGGGAATTCTCACAGAAGGAGAAGGAGCAGTTAGAAAATTCCAAAAACCTTCAGACCTCTGTAGAGTCCGTCACACAAAGGTAACAACACACAAGTCACTAACAATATTATTATTCAAAGTAATATAAAAAAGCTTCTTTTATTTTTGCTTTTAACAACTTTAAATATTTTTGGACAGATTTAAGCTGGCCCTGCAACAGAATGAGATTATGGACGTGTTCTACATTGACTGGCTCCATCTTGGTGATGCTGAGGGGAACTTTGGTAACAAGTCAGACAACCACCTTAAGGTAGTGTATCAAACCATCAAAGGGAAATAACTTGTGATTCTGAATCAGGTAGCTTAACTTGGTTGTAAGCCTGAATTTATGTTGTTAATTATTGGTGTATATTACTACAGGAGTACCAGTCATTTACAGATCTACAGTTTAGTAAAGAGAAGAGTATTACTTGTATACAGTGGCACCCCACCATTAAAGGTGAGCAGGGGGGATTCACAATTTTTTTAAGTCAGCAGAATCTACATTGAATATGTAAAACAGACAGCATCCTGATGACTAAAACATGTACCATTTTTTCTGTAGGAGTTGTGGCAGTCTCAGTGGCAGAGAAGATGACCTTTGACGAGAGAATTGACTCGGCAGCCAAAGTCATTATGACACCGTCCCTGATTCTTATCTGGAGTTTTACAGACCCCATACATCCTCAGGTAATAGGTTACAGACCCCATACATCCTCAGGTAAACTATTGTGGAGTGTGTTTGAGCTCTTGTTCAGCAGATATTGATTAAATAATTGAGGATTGGTTTGATGAATGTTCATTGGATTATTTAGTTGCTGCTTGAGGCCCCAGATGATATCTACAGTTTTCAGTTCAGTCCGTCGGATCCTAACATTATCTGTGGTGGATGTTACAATGGTCAGGTGGTTCTGTGGGACATCTCTGCCCACGCGGACCGCCTTAAACAGCCTCGAGGTGGGAACAGGAACAAAAAATCTAATGTTCTGGTGAGTTTTTGGAATGATCATGCTTTATTTATCACTATTGGAATACAGTTTTAAAAAAGAATAAAATGGAAACATAAATTAAAAAAAAATATATTTTCAGTGACAAATTTTTGTATAAACAGTGTATAATTATTTGTAGCCTGGATTTGAGGACCCAAATGCCCTGAAAACTCCAATAGTGAGATACTGTGCTGTGTCTAGTATAGAGAACAGTCACAGGGCAGCCATCACAGACATACAGTGGGTTCCTGATCACATGGAGGTAAGATATAATGACCTGTGTCCAGTAAACATATACAGTACACCCTGATCACATTTATCCGGATAGAGTCACAGCAGCCATCACAGACATACAGTGGTTTCCAGTCAATTTGTGTCCGGATATGTGCCATCACAGACATACAGTGGGTCCCTGATCACATGGAGGTAAGATATAATGACCAATGTCCAGTATAGAGTCACAGGGCAGCCATCACAGACATACAGTGGGTCCCTGATCACATGAAGGTAAGATATAATGACCAATGTCCAGATATCTGGCAGCCATCACAGATATCCCTGATCAGGTCCAACTGTATAAAGAACAGTCACAGGGTATCGATTACATAAAATCCATGGTTGCAATTACAAAACAGAAACAAAATGTATGACATTTTTTGCAAGCCAGATTCTCTTGGTTTCTGATGTCAAAAAGTCTGTGTTATGATTTTCATTGTATGTTTATCATCAAAATACAAGAACTCTACCTGTGTTTTTGATGTGACTGTGATGAATTCTGTAGGTGAACAGAATGGGAGTTCCCCAGGAGAATAAATCCATGCAGTCCTGTCAGATCATGACGTGTGCCGCGGATTACAGCATCCTGTTCTGGGATACGAGGCCCCCTAAAGGACCAGGACAGCTCAACATCGCCACCAAATCAGACAAAACGGACAAATCTCAAATGGGGGTTCCTACAACTTTCAAACACCTAGATCTCTCCTGGAAGCCAATGCTGAAGGTAAACTTATCAAGGAGTTCAATGTGTCTAGTTTATTTTTCTTGCATGTTAGCATTACAAGAGTCAGCCTTCAGTATATGTACTGGTATGTCAGGTGTTAACAGTTGTTCTCTGGCTATTTTTAGGTCCATCTTCACAAATCAGAACCAGGGGGTGACCACGCCCCCATGAAGTTCTCTATACAGGAGAAGCAGGGGGACAGGAAAGCTCGTAAGTTAGTCCTACAACCTGTGTAAGAGTTCCTAAGTTAGTGGTTGTACCGGTTTATTATCTGAAGTAAATTCCAGTCTATGAGCACCCAAGTCATTTAGTTTTTAAAATTTGTAGTTAAGTTTAAGCATAATAATACAAGAGTTATAGTACTGTTACTGCATGGGTGAAATATCTATTCATAGGACTTTAATTAAAGGTACTTGGACACAGATTTGAAGTTAATATTTTCTGTATAATATTACGACTTATATATTTTAATAGCATTTTACACAAAAATTAATTAAAAATCTTATTTCATTTAAAAGTTAATAAAACTTCAAATTTTTTGGCAGGTTTGATTGACACATCCTTGCACTTTCACATATTTTAACTTTATTTATGGCACACCAAGTTCACAAAAATGAGATAATCATAGTTTTATAAACTAGCATAATACAAGAGTTTATAGTATTGTTGTTAACTAATTTACGAATGTTAAATATCTAATAAAGCGTTAACAATAGATTTTGCTTATAAACAGTTTCAAAATCTAGTTAAGAGTTGTTAATCATAGTTTCACAAATTGTGAAACTATATTTAAGGGTTAACTATAGTTAACGGTTTGTAAACTGTAGTTTGCAAATCGTGATATTATTTATTTTAAGCAGATTGATATGTAAACATAGATCGCATTAACTATGGTTTATGTGAAATATAGATTAACTTGTACATAGTTTACGGTTTGTACAAATATAAACCTATTTATCGATAATGAATTAAATTTGATGTGCCATATTTATTAAATCCTTAGGAAAAATAGGAATCATTAATGAGATATTAAAACTTTAATCACTGAATGATAAGGCTAGCTATGTATTATTTCTTGCTGATCTCTTCCAAGGGTGCCTCATGTTTTTATTGCTAAATCAATAAAATATAAACATCACTTTTTTTTTGACAGAAAGGCGTTTTGATGGCCTCCCTCCCTCATCATATTTCTTGAAAAAAGGCCTGAAAAAAAAACTCATAGTGTTGTGTACAAAGTTTAGCATCGTTCACACTGTCATTTTGTCAGGGCACGAGCTCGTTAACAATTTTAAATCAATCTGCTCACCACAACCGCCATACTGACAATATATTGTGTGTTTGTTTTGCTTTCGGACTTCTACTCTGAATTTTCATTGTGTGGATTATGTGTAAAGTGCAAGGATGTGTCCCCGGTAATAACTTTTATGAGCACGTGTGAAATGCATAGCTCCTTGTTTGTGTTAAACAGTTTAATCAAATCAGTGTAAAAGACTACAAGGGGAATGACATCCCATTGATATTATTTCTTTAAAGATAGTGCTTTATGTATTATTTAATTTGCTTCTTAATAAATCCAGCACAACTGGACATTGAGATTTTCACTGAATGATAAGGCTAGCTATGTTTTATGCTGATGTAGGGATGTTGTTCTAATGAAACTCACTTTTACAGAAAGGCGAGATGGTAAGAGATAAAAACATCATAGTGTAGTCATCGTTAATGTCATTTTGTCATCGAAAATTTTAAATAACTGTTTATGATTGTGTGGATAAACCATTATTGTCTGTGTTACAAGTTACATCCCACTGTTGATAGTGCTTTATGTATTGTTTAATTTGCTTCTTATGAATTAGCTGTTAGACCAAAAAGAACATTTGCTGCAACTAATGTATCCAAAAACGTCATTTGTTCATGAAAATTAACAACAGTTACGATTTTATAAACCATTATTGACACACCTATTTCTTATATATAGATAAGAACCAGAATTAGAATTGTTGGATTTATTTCAAAAATCTTTTAAACTGATGATACATGTGTTACTTTGTAGTGTCCAAGGCCACAGATGCCACCGACATGAGTCGTGAGAACGCTATGGGCGGTGGTTATTACACGAAGCCCGGGTCTGGCAAAGACAAGAGGACTCTGCAGAGCGTCAAGACTCATTTCTACGTGGGGACAGAGGTAGTCTCGTCCTGGGGGCGGGGGAATGAGCTTGACCCCCTGTACAGTCCTGCTTTCTTAGTCTTGCACAGTCTCTCTGTCACCAGCACTGCACGTTACAGCTGTAGATACAACTCTCCTGCATGTAAATGTGTCCTCAGATCAGGTCACAGTCCTCCCCTACACCCCACACAGCATGCACCCTCTGTACACAATATCTGTTCTATTTATACCATATGTCCACACCCTCTGATCTATTAATACCATATGCATGATTTCTCCAATTCTTTACAACATTCAAAACTCTATGTAATATGTGAACAGCATAACTTCTAACCAAATACCTACTTACATTCTTGGTCAGCATGTGATCTATCCATACTCAGTTTTGTGGCATGTAGCTTGCCTCTGTATCCCAATCTTACACTCTCTTTATAATAACACACATCTTCTCCTGGCTCTTATCGAATGTCACATTGCTAACATTAGATCTGACATTGTCTTCTCCAATAATCCATGTATATCAAACTTTGCTCTCTTCACACACAACTGTGTATATATCATTGCACAAGCTATTTATTATAATGAAATGTAATCACAAGTTCATTGCTTTAATTGTGTTTTTATTTGATAATTAATGTATTAATGAATTCTCCAATTATTACTTTACAGAGAACTTGATTTAACATTGATTATTAATTATGTATATCTAATTGTGTATAAACTGCAGTCTTTGTCAATTTCAACTTAACTTTCCTCAAAGCATTTTGGATAAAGATGAATCAATTTTTGTGAAAAGCCAAGTCTTCTTTTAATAGGAGATGTTATGGAACTGGTGAAAATTTGATGGGATCTTTTGAAAATTTACCAGGCCTGAGACAATGAAATTTACATGAAATCTAATTGATTTACATGAAGTATAGATTTAGTGTTGAAATCATCCCCCTTCCCTAGGGATTAGGTTCGGGACAATGGGAGTATTTTATGGGAGTATATAGAAATATATATAAAAATCTTCTTTAGAAACAAAGGTCATGATAAGTCCAATTAAATATACAAGCATCTTTTGGTAGACAGTGTATTTTAAATTCTGTTCAAATCATTGACCCCAGGGGTAGGGTGGGACTGTAATAGGGGTTAACTGTATCACAAGGGAAAATATAGAAGGAATCTTCTCAAGAACAAGAAGTTATGTAAATGTGCAAGTGGACTCAGATAGTTCTGATTGAGAGTCGTTCAAATCTTATAAAGAGTTACAGGGCCTTCTTTAAAAAATTTTAAACTGTGGGAATTCAGTTTCATGTTTTCAAATAAAAGGGTATGGGTAAGAGTTGGGCTAAATTGGATGCAATATATCTTTATTATTTTTTTTTTCAAGAACATCTTGGCCCGGTTAGTCATATTGATATTGAAGCATCCTAATGTTCAGTGGAATCATATACCCGTATCATTAAATCATAATCCCTACAGCCTATGCTGGTCCACACTTTGGGTCAAAATTCTTAATGAAAAAAATAGGGAATTAACACAACTTATGTGGGCATTGTTGCCCAGTGGCCTCTTGTGTAAATGTTACAGTGTAAATTTAAAAGTGTATACCTGTATATATATTGGGGAAATGAACAAAATTCCAAAGCATTTCTTTTTTACCACAAATACCACTTATGATGAAATGAAAAATTGGAAGATGCCAAATTTAAAATTTGACCTAGAAGGATTCAAGAAGTCTCAGAAAATTCACGTTATACATAATTATGAACAGCAAAAAAGAAAAGCCCATCTAAATTGTAAAATTGAACTCTAGGTATTTCTTTAACCCCTGCCTTGATAACAACTGCATCTGTATATAATATACGGATAACACTCTACATGAAAAAAATAATGATTGTTCTTCAATGAAATATTTCTGCAGAAAATATTTTAAGTACACAATGCACAAAATACAATCTGTACCCAGTTATAATATAGTTAAGACAAGTCTTTAGTACCTGGTGAGCACACTCCCCACACACAAGCTGTGAAAAATAAGCTGTGAGATTATCTGAGGTGGTTTCCTCACACATAAGCTATGAGCTCATCTGAGCTTGTCTCCCCACACATAAGCTGTGAGCTCATTTGAGGTCTCCTCACACATAAGCTGTGAGCTCATCTTAGGTCTCCCTGCACATAAGCTGTGAGCACATCTGATGTCTCCACGCACATAAGCTGTTAGCTTGTCAGGTCTTGTCATGCATAAGCTGTGAGCTTATCTGAGGTCTCCCCACACATAAGCTGTGAGCTTAGTTCTCCACACACATAAGCTGTGAGCTCATCTTAGGTCTTCCCACACATAAGCTGTGAGTTTAGTTCTCCACACACATAAGCTGTGAGTTTAGTTCTCCCCACACATAAGCTAAGAGCTGGTCTACCCACACATAAGCTGTGAGCTTATCTGAGGTCTCCCCACACATAAGCCATGAGCTCATCTTAGGTCTCCCCACACATAAGGTGTGAGCTCATCTTAGATCTCCCAACACATAACTTATGAGCTCATCTGAGGTCTCCCAACACATAAGTTATGAGCTCATCTGAGGTCTCCCAACATGTAAGCTATGAGCTTATTTGAGGTCTACCCACACATAAGCTGTGAGTTCATCTGAGGTCTCCCCACATATAACTGTGGTTTACAGACAGACTGAAGGTTGTAAGCTATAGCTGTAGCACACTCTCAGGTTTTGGTTATTTTATTTGACTTTTTTAATAAATGATATCAAGTAAGAGGCATTAATTGATTGTGTTAATGTGAAATTCTGATGGGCTTGTTTGCTTTTTTTCTTTGAAAAGGTTTGCTTTATTTTTTGAAGGTCAAAGTTGTATTTGCATACATATTGTATTCTTGCACAGATACCTTACTTTTATCCTTTCTCCTTTATTTTTGCACACACATGTTTTGCTTGACAAATAATATTTAAGACACTCCATTTTGCTAAATAAGATTTGTGTAAATGACTTCCTTGTTGTCAGGATGGAGAAGTTGTGTATGTGGACTGGATGCCAGTGAAAGACCAGGATACAGGGAAAATTGTCAGTAAGTGAAAGGGAGAAATTGTCAGTAAGTGAAAGCCTGGGAGGGGGAAAATTGTCAAAAAATACTGTTTAAGAAAAGATTTCTTTAGCATTACTGAATGTTAGGAATCATTGTGAAAGATTAAATATGCTTTTTACCCGGTATAAGTTTGCCAACTAATTAAAATTTTGATTTTTTTCCTTAAGCACCTAAGCCTGATTTCTACCATGCGATCCATGACGGCCCAGTCAACACGGTTCAGCGATCACCATTTTTCAGTGACATCATTCTGTGTGTAGGAGGATGGACATTCACAATCTGGAAGGAGGGCGTAACGGTAATGAGATCTGACCTCTCTCTTTATCATTCTGATCAGTTCTAAATTAAGGAAAATCTTTACATACTGGGGTGGGGAGGGAATTGTATGCAGTTTTCTCCCCTATATTAGATTCCTTAAAATTTGAGTTTTTATCAAAACAAAGTTTCTGAGGGAGGGGTGGGAGCATGCATGCCTTTTAAAATATATTGATAAAGAAATTCAGGGCAATACATTTCTAACATTAAAAGCTGAACAGCATTAAATACCCTTGTATCCATCTAAATGTTATAAAATATTTGACATGGATATAATCAATATGAAGTGTATGTATGTGTTTGCCTCTATTGCCGTGTATACTATCTTGTTAATTCTATCAGATTCTACAACTTTTGTACCAGAAAAAGATTCTATACCGCTGGTGTGTCTGTCTGTAGTAAGATTTATTTTTAGCTATAATATTAACAGGACGAGTCATCAGAGAATAAGAAGAAAGTAAGTGATTGGTGGTAGAACAAGTTCTGAAATGATGTGTGTTTTCAGCTCAGTGTCTTAAATTGTGTAAACAAACAACTTCTGATCAAAAAGTGTCTGTTGTCCTTTTTTGGAATCTTGGTTTTTATAGCCACACATTTACAGAATTAATTTGCCTTAAAAAAGATATATCTTAAATCAATTTAAAGCATCATATCTAAGTAATTTGACTATCATCTATATTTAAGTTCATATTTCATTACCTTTCTTGACCAGCATTTTGTCAGGTGAGCTAAAGTGTCCCTTACACTGATGGCCTATGTGTGATAAACACGTGAAGAGTACATGTATCCGTAAAAAGAATGATCATAATTTAATTTGGGTGAAGAGTTTTTGATGAAATGAGGCAAATATGAATTTGTGCTTGTTAGGTTTTATTTCAGTGAAAAATGTAGTGCTAAGAATTTGAAACAAATAAGATAATGTAGTTATTGTTGACTTAATAAAAACGTATATGTTGAATTAATATAGATCAGATGAATTAGAAATTAATTAAGTGTATACTTAACAATTAATATACTTACTTAAAACTAAAATGGAAAGGAATTATCTCTTTTGTATTATTTTACAATTTAGTCAATAGTGAAGATAAAATATGTCTAAGTAATTTTTTTGAAGTGTGCAAAATGAAATTTAATTATAATTTGAATCAAAATGAATTATGAGTAAAACTGTTATAATTTACATGTGATCATGTAAATTTTAAAATATGTGAAAAAAAAAGTTTTAGAATTTAAGAAATCTTGATTGAGATAAAACAATACCTCTGTTTTTTTTCCCTTTCAGACTGGGCCCATCCTACAGTCTAATGCTAATCCCGTCAAGATGATGGCAGGTCACTGGTCTCCGTCGAGACCCTCGGTGTTCTACATCGCTAAACACGACGGAAGTGTGGACGTATGGGATCTCCTGGATAAAACACACGAACCAACGCTGACGCAAAGCGTGTCACCGACTCTGATTACTCAGCTGTTCCCCTTCCAAATCTCACGTAAGCATTTATCATCTCCAAATAAAAACTGACGCTTAGGAGCATTAACAGTATACCATAGCAGTGCCGGGTAATTAATATTCTGTTTTAGAAAATAAGCTTGATTTTATGTACAGTGTATCATGTAACTTTTTTTCTGTCATTGAAACTTTTCTGATTTCCTGCGTATAGTAAGTTGTTGGTTCAGTATAAAGCTACAGCTCTGTGTATGTTACAGAGAAGCAGCATTTGCTGGCTGTGGGTGACAATGCGGGGACGTTACACATCCTGGAAATCCCCTGGAGTCTGCGACAACCCACTCCTAATGAGGTAAATCCCAGAATTCTGTGCAATGAGTAAATTCTTATTCTGTAACATGCATTGCGCTGTGACTTAACCTTGTATGATTTTTTCAGATGACGGGAATCTCTAACTACTTTGAGCGTGAGGTGAAGAGGCGTGCCTTTGTTGTGATGAGGTGGGACTTCAGAGAGAACGAGAAAAGAGAACTGGAGCAGGAACAAAAAAGGAAAGCTGGGGTGAGGAAAATAACAAACAGATTGGATTAATTGATTAATTAATTACTTATTTCTCATGCATGATGCTTCCTCAAAGTGAATCTTTGTAAATCGAGTTAAGATGAAATATGATATTTCATTGCATATTTCACTATGTTTTAAACATCAAATTCTTCTGAAATAATGAACAGGTGAAGTTTGTAGCATTCAATACACAGAAATCATAGGACAAACTTCTAGACTTAATAGTACAGTCGCACCTGCTGTTACGGCCACCTTTAATCAGCGGCCACTCCCCTTAAAAAGCTTGCCTGACTAAATCAACCAATTTATCTGCATGAAGAGTGATAAACCTTTCTAGCAATACTTTGTGGGTTTAAAAAAATATCCTAACTTTATATTTAATTTGAGAACCTTGTGTAATCAAAATCTTGATTTTATTTAACTTGTTGAAGAATCATCTCTACACTGCATACTAAAGAGTTCTTATTCGGAGGGGGGGGGGGTCTGCTAGTGGAGTGATCTGCCCTTGGATCTAAATTTCAATCTCTATTGTAACACCTACATATACATGTACATTATAAAATCTGTTATTAAATCATGCATTGTAAAGATTTTTAAAAGATGGACATAATTAAATACACATTTTGCTGGAGTGTATTTCCTCCTCTGAAGTAAACAGTCGTAATGTGTGTTCATTATTATTTTTTCTTATTGACACTATCATATAATGAGAATGATATAAGTAAATTCAATACTTAGACCTTTGTGGAAAGTAAAGTCCAAGATTTTTCACTGCTTTCTTATTTACTGTGTGTATCTGAACAGACATATGACTTGAACTGCGTTGTTTATTATTATCGGACTAGTCCATTTATGGAATAAACCAACCGCGGGATCGGGAAACAAATTAGAAAAATCTTTTTTTTTTTTTTTTTTAGTGTTGCATGTCCATATACTGATGTATACGACATGTTGTTTTAAAGAATGATATAAAACTTGTAGATAGAATTTCTGAGGCATTAGAATGAGGTTTTCATTGAAGTTAGCACACCCATTTATACAATAGAACAATTCAAAAAAAGGCTCGAATTCGAAGATATAGCTTACTAGTGACATTTGGCGCGAAAAGAGCGATTCACCCCTTTTGTAGAATATAAATGGACTGATCCAGTAGTATAGAAATGCAGAAAACAGGATACACGGATATGTTGAAACGGCGAATCACATGGAATAATCTGTTCCATGCAAAAAGAGTAAAGGAAGTAAAGACTGCAGTATTTTGCATCAGTAATATCATTCTGTTTTCTGAAAACTGTTTCTTTTAAAATGCAGGTATTTCCAATGCAAATCAGCTTGCACAAAATCTAGCTCTTTAGATATGATCGCACACTTTCGGATCTTGGAAATATCAATCCTTATACAGCCTGACGCCGTGACGTCAGGCAATAATGAGTTAATGACCAATAATTGCAGGTGTAATTTGAATTCTGTCAGGATTTAATTAATATGATTAAATGATTTATTGTTAAAAGATCTTTATTGATGTTTTATACAAATTAAGTTGTTGAATATTTTCATGACATAAACCCAATAGACTACATTAATTACAATTCAATTTCGCCTGAGGTTATCAAGTCAAACGGTCATGTTTTAATCTTTTATATTAAATAAATAAATATATATCTAGAAAAACTAAAAAAAATTTTACACAGTATCAGGGAAATGCTAAGTTATTAGAACATTTTATGATTTCCTGTAAAAATTAAATTACCAACGCACACACAAAAAAATCAATAACAAATTTCTTTCAGAAATTCATGTTAAATTAAATGTAAAAGAGATCTCATTTGATTAAAAATTTATTAACTTTTTAAATGTTTTGAAATTGGATTTGGATACGTGTGAAAAGAAATACACAACTGTGGTCACAATTGTTTGTTCATTGGATTGAAACCTGGAATAAGTGGCCACCTGTCTTATGTGGCCAATTTGTCATTCTCCCACGAGTGGCCTCTTAAAACAGGTTTGACTGTATACTCTGAATATTGGTCTCTGTCTTAATTAGCATGGTAGTCAAAAGAGTCATCATCAGAATTTTATAAAACTTGTGAGTTCTTTCCCTTCCCAGATTGCCCCTAACGTGGTGCTGACTGATGAGGAAGTAGAATACCGACTGAAGCAGGAGTACCAGAGTTATCTGGACGAGGAGGCCGCCTTCCTCCGCGAACTCGGGCTCCTGAAGGAGGAGGATGAGCCACTCCCCGAGACGTGATTCCCCAGGCGCGAAACCAAGCCCGACCCCGAGACGTGACCCTCAGCACTCGTAAACTAAACATTCCAAGCTGTGATATTGATAAATGATACTGTTGAAAACTTAGTTCTCTTGGAGGATCTGTGTATTTATGAGGACTCTGTACTGTTACAGATTTAAATTACAATTATTGCTGATGGTACTTTTTTCTACCAAATGTATAGTTATTGACATTGTCAGTCTACTATTAATGTATTTTATTTTTAATTTATTCACTTTTTTGACTCCAGCCATTTGCAAATATGTGCTTTGGAAAAATCTGTTTATTATTGTTTTGATTGATAATAAATTACGTAACTGCTTCTAGTTTGTTTCTGTTGTAAAAGGTTTCTGAGAAACGGGGGACAAAAATCAGCAGACCTTATGAACTATGAACGTATAAGGGGTTGTGCTTCAAGCTATAGTCAAACCTTGTAATTTTGAACTACAGGGGGCCAAGAAAAATTTCAGAGATCCCCCAGTATCCAAAAGTTTTAGATATCATCATATAATTAGAAATGTTGAGGTTACAATACATAAAGAAAATGCTTTGGAGTCCCAGCTGACAAGTGAATAGCCATAGTATTCAAGATGTAGGTGATCCCAAGATTAATTAACTACTTTTGATGAAGTATGAGATAATACATGGAATATGGATTAATTGTGGGCTAAAGGCAGAAAGGTAGAGGGTTGAACTTGGAATGTTGATTTTCTACCTTAACATATGGGTAACATACCACTGTGAGATTGTGAGGCAAATGCAAACAGTTTTGTTTGGAAATCCTGAAAACAAGTTACTGTAAATGTATTATATTTAGCGTGTACGATATTTGGCGGAAATTGATTTTTTAACAAGTTAGCATAGATTTGATTTAGTGGATATCTTAATTTTCTTATTTAAGTGTATATATTTGCAAAACATTTAGCATTGTACTTGAATTATTGGAAGTTTCTTTCCACCACAAAGGATACACAGCCAAATGTAATACATTTACAATAACTCAAAACATGTCCTGCTGCGAAAAACCTTTTGTTCTAATGTACCTTTTACAATATTCTATAAGGGGGAAAAAATTCTTAAAAACAAACAATATATTCTGTAGATTTATT